TTCAACGCCAAACCTGTGTTGGGAAGCCCCATTTTGGCTTGTTCTTTATGGGCTCCAACAACCGGTTCCCCGTAAAGTTCAGCCGCCTTCCCCTTTTTTCCCCATTGCAATATCGCGAAGAGAAACTGTCTGGGCTGTTCAAAGGCAATCCTTAATCCTTACCTGGGGTTACGCAAGGAACCGGCCTTTGTAGTGGCTTTCCTATAGGGATTATGGAAAATCGGATTGGCCAACCCTGCATTTTGAACCCAGACTGTGTCAAGTTGACCATGCCCACCTCGAGGGCCTGTTGCGCTTCCTCTGAGAGCATTGAGCCAAACGTTTGGGGTGCGGTTTTGGTCAGGGTGCTGCGCTGTTGGTGGCCCGGTGGCCTTTTCTTTTGGGGGGAACACTGTCCGAAAGGTGGCTTTGGACAGTTTTTTAAATTATAGATGTTGCTGCTGACTCGCTGAGGGCCCAAAAAAGACATGGCACACATGTGGTTTTGTCAAGATATCTAGTCCATAGTTCATTTCATTTGTGGGGACTCGCTGAATCGTGAGAGAATGCGGGCAGGTTCTTACTTGGGGTGGAGGAATGTCGCGGATGGATTCGGGGAACTTCTCTAAGTCCCATATCATTCGACCCTTGGGTGGTGTTGTTTGATCAAAGTCAGAACCAAACCGGTTAAATGAAAGTATTGCTTTGGCGATTTGCTAATGGATCTTCGGACTGTAACTTTTAGGGAAACAGGTCGGATATTCCATTGGACCCACAAAACGTAGAACTTTTTGCAGAGAGGTCAACAGCAACCCAGCATGACAAGGACTCGTTGCTTTTGTTCCCAAAATGGGAAGCCTTCTGGATTGCGTTTAAACTCAGTTGCGAAAAGGCGCACCAACCTGAAATGTCCAGGTGGTTAATCATATTTTGTGGCCCCAAAACTCAGTCCCCCAGTTTCCGGACATTAAACACTTGTTGGGAAGATAATTTAATTTGGGTGGTAAATTAAAAGTTGTTTCCTTGTGTGCCAATCCACTCAGGAAGTCAAAAAACTGGCCTCATTATTTTACCATGATCAAAATCACCCCCTAAGTGGATTAAAGGGACACAACCCCGTTTTCTGACTTTGATAACCCCCAGACACAGTCAAAATAATAACCCCAGGAAAATGTGTGCACCTGTTATTTTGGGTCCTTTGGGGATCCTTTTGTTCACATAGCCCATTCTTTCTTGGGAATCGCGGCTTACGGGCGTGGTGAAAATTGGGAGGCTCCGAAGATGAGTGGCGTGCTTTTGGTTACCCTTTCAACCTATGTAACCACTTCCCAAGTGATTGGTGGAGATGAATCCTCCAATTGGTGTCCACTAAACTTGGTGGCTCCCAGCCATCCCCTTAGCTTTCTAGCTTTTTAGGGTTTAGTGGGGGTTTCCATTTAACCCACTAAAAGTTAAACTTTTAGCAGGGGATCTGCGGGCAGCCCAGTAAAGCGTCCCTACTTGAAACTCGAACAAAATGAGATTTTAGGACTCCTTTTTGAGCGCCAAGAGGGGACACCGAAGCCATATTCGCGGGCTCCCAAAAGGACAGCCATACTGTGGATGGTTGCGAAATCCATTTCGCACGACTTGGGGTTTCCATGCTTGAAACCAGACCGTTGGTTGGTATTTACGTCGGGGAATCAAATCAAAAATCAGGGTTTCTGAACGGTGGTGCCTAAGAGGATTTCGCATTTCCATCCACAGTAGGGCGCCCATAATTTGCTGAGGTTTTTCCGGTCTTGTTATGTTCTGGCGCCTGCGCAGATCAGTTGCGTCCTGTTCATCGCAACCTTAACTACAGCCACAGCATGCTTTTTCCTTAGATGGAGTTTTGGTCGCTAAGGCTACCCCTTTTTGTTTCTGGGTTTTAAAGGGAAACCAAAAGGAACAACCATTTTTGGGGGGTCCCCAAAAAAGGACACACAGTCAACGTTACTACATCCACAGCAGGTTTTTTCTTTTAGTGGCGCGAACGGATTTCGTTGCCCCCCCAAAAGCAGACGCTTGGCTTAGGACAAAGTCCAGCTTGGCTTAGACCCTCAGGAAATGCGTACACGCTTCGCCTTTGGCGTTTTAAACCTTAAATGGGTTTTAAAAGGAAACCAAAAGGAACACCAACGATTTTTTGGGGGGTCCCCGAAAAAAGACAAAGTTTCGGTCGCTCAGGCTGGAGCAGTTTGAGGCCTAGGCGCTGCGACGAGGGACAGGAGCCGAAAGGATGGCCGCACGCGGCTTTGCCTCGCGATCAGTTGATCTCTCTCACTCGAGTTCCGTTTCGCACACTTGACGCGTTTTTTGGGTGTGGTTGCCATTTGGGTGGTAGACGTAGACACGAAGTTTAGGGCTTTTTCAGTTCTGGACTTCAAGCTTTTTGGGTTTGGACCAGTTTAGTGGTATCTCTTCTCTTCTGCACGGCCAAGAGGATCAATCGGCGCCACATGCTGTTCGCAAAGAGATTCCTCTGCATTTTAGTGGTAGTGTATAAACAAGAAGTTTCGGCATTTTTTTCTGGCCACTCCACTTTGAAAGTGAGTTATGAGCAAAGCGGAGGGGTCTTTGGTTTGAGGAAATCCGTGGTTGATTTCACAGGGAATGCAGAGGGAAGCAACCATTCTTTGGGGCTCCCTTAGCAAACGGTTTTGTTGAGCTAGACTGATCGTGCAAACGCAAGGCTAAGGCCGTCAAGCGCATCTGCGGGACTGGCGAGACGCAAGTTCTTGGTTGTTCAACCCCCGACATAGCTGTTCAGCTTGCCGGCAAGCAAGTGCTCAAGCAATGGTTGTGGATGAGCAGCGGATGTTTGGCTTGTCGGATGCACGAGTCGACTCGACCGACTCACCAGCGCCTGCAATGTTTTACAGTCTGTGCCGAACGGAACTGGAAGCAATCGACAGTTGCCGTAGATTGAACACACGTCAAGCTGAAATTATGTGCTTAGCCCAGTTGACATGTGTGTGTGTGCATTTCGGACATCAGGCATGTTCTCTGGATCCGTTCAGGCAGAGCAGATCATTGCTTTGAAGCCTAGCTATACATCCGTTGAAAGCACAGAGCGTAAGTGCGAGCCCCAAACCTTGAAATGGCAATGGGCATGCCATACCCTTCTATACATCACTGAACCCAAGTAAAAATTGTTTTTGAATTGAAGGAATATGCAGGCTTTAGACTCCCTTGTTGAGTGCTGCATTTCTGTTGAGTGCATGCGTGACGCCGTTGGCAAGTGCCAAGTGCACTCACCACTCCAAGTGTTGTTCTCAGAGCATGGGACCAGACGCAAAAATTGGGTTGTTCCAATTTGCTGAAATGAAGATTTTTCCCAAGGAATATTGCTTATTTTCCCCTGGTTGTAAAGGGGATCTGAGATGACATGTTCTATTTTTTCGCTGGTTGTAAAGGGGATCTGAAATGACATGTTCTATTTTTCCGAACCGCTGGTTGGAAAGGGGATCCATCACTGGAAATATGTCCTCCTTGCCAGGGGACTTAAGCAAGCCAATGGAAGATTGAACTGAGACCCGGCCCCCTTGAAATGGAAATCCGTGGCGATCGCATCAGGTGGCTTATCAACCATTCAAAAAAGCAGCCCAATCTAGGTGTTTTTTGTATTACACCCTGGGAATACGCCTGGGTATTGACCCCATTTAGGCGTACATGTCCGGATAAGACCGTGTTATGTTGAACCATTCTGCGTCATTTTTCAAGGGTGCAATCCCAGGGTGCAATACAACACCCTAGACCCAACTGGTGTCGATGAGTGTGGGGTTTTTGTCATCGATTGCCACGAAGTCGAAATCTCCAGGGCCACTCCGCCCATTGCTTTCAATGGTCGAACAGACTCACAGCTTGTGACGCGAAAAGTTTGCCGCCTAGACGAGCGCCGTGCGTTCCACTGGATGCACTTCTGGCGGTTTGCTCCAGAATTATCCCCAGCAATGTCGCTTGTATAGTACTTTGGACAGCTGTGTGTTTCCAGCCACCCAACAGCAGTCAGTTTTTTAGGCAGAGTGCGTGTGTGTGTGTGTGTGTGGGTATTCCCAAACCCCAAAACACATTTGTACTTGCATGCTTGCAAGGACTGGAGCAGACAAAATCTGAAACATGGGTGGATCAGAAGTTCCATTGCAACTGACAAGATGGCTGGTAGACTATTTGTATTTTGGGGAGCACCCAAATCTAACAAGGGGCCCATTACTGCTGTCCGGGGGTCTGTGCTGCTTCTACATTGCACTTGCAAGCCTTCACCTTTCTCCCCTCTCTTTCAACAGTCAGGTCAGTCGAGTGTTGGCGTTTATAGATTTGGGTTTGTCGCCAAGCAGGGGAACCCTCAAAATAGTGGAATTCCTTTGGTTTTCCCCTAAGGTAACCCAACAGAGGGTGCCCTGAAACCGAGACAGAGCTTTTTGATCTTCTTGCTGGGTTGCTAAGACCTCCTCTGGGCTATAAATCAGAGAACTGCAATTGAATAACCATGTGGGATTTATGCGGACCCTGCTGGTTTTGAACAGTCCTACAGCCTTGGCGAACACGTGGACAGCTGAACCAGCCACTCCGCTTTCCAATCCTTTCTCCCTCCATCATTTTTTCTGGAGGGTTCGAAGCACTTGGTAAAGGATAGTCAGTCCTGAGGGAAGAACATGTAGGTAGCTAAAACGGTTCGGATGTGACTTTTGTGGATCCACCCCTGTAAGATATTGAAGGAGTGCTAAGAAGAGTACCAGGGGGAAGAACAAGTGAAGTCCACAACAATCGCATCCGAACCATTTTTTGGATCGTTTAACGTTGGTTGCATCTCCGGCAATGTGTTCCAAAGCCGCCCCTGAACCACCAAACCACCAACACACCAATTAGATGGAAGCTGATTTAGAGTGCTTTTGAAGAGAAGCCCCCAAGCAACGCCTTTTTTGAGGTCTTCCGTTTTGGAGGTTGGAGGTTGCCCTACTTTCGAGTCACTAAAAAAACGGGGACAATTTCCGTCGCAGGCGACGGACAAGCACAACATCAACTTCGACCCCAAGGCGGGCGATTGTGAGTTTTTCAGGTCGACGAGGCTTCTGGGCCGTACATGGGCGTGCCTTTTTTTTTGAGCTAGGTCTCCCAGCTAGTGCCCTTTGACCGACTTTTTTGGGGGAGGGTTCCGCTACTAAAATAGACTACAGAAAAAGAGGGTACCCTTATTCTAACCTCTCTACTGGAGGACCTAGTTTAGGCTGGAGCCCCACAATGGCGCAACGGTGTTCCTTTAGTTTCCCTGGAAAGCCCTCAGTTCCCGAGTTCCGTTTCCTGGACTAGAAACACTTTTGGGGAAGTGTGCGAAGACCGTGCTAGTGGTGAATTTTAAAAAGTGTGGTTGCTTTTTTGGGCCAGTCCACTCGATCGGAAGTGAGGAAGTATCCGTGAAAGGCTTAAGTGTTTGATGGTTGCATGGCTGAACGGGGTCTTTTTCGAGGTGCACGGAGTCGGAGTTGTTTCGGAGGGGATGACCCTGAGTTGATTGAACCGAATTGACTTGCTGGTTCTCAGCAGGGAATGAGACATGGAATGACCCGAAACAACCATCCATCCTATGGTTTCCTGTCAGGGAGTAGCTAGCGCACTAGCAATTTGAGAACCAGGGTGCGTTGAACAAAAAGGGTGGAGCCGGGAGCTTTCCAGCGAACATATGATAAAAATGATGCAAATGGGGAAAGCCGCTTGCCAAGACGAAGGCTTCGCTTCCATGGCTGCGCGCTTGTGGCGGGTCAACGTTTGCTTTGGAGGGGAATTTCCTGCTGTGTGAGCCCCGTCGAAGGATGCGATAAAGCAAGGCCGCTCACATGCACCCGCACCAAGCAATTCATGCACACCTGCCAAATTGTGAGCACCCCCGCTCTTGTGCGCCCGCTCAGCGCTGTGCGCATGCCTGCCAAATGGTAAGCACATGCCCAATGCGAAGAAGCAGCGGGGAAATGAGTCATGTTTGCTCATTTGAGAGGATCCAAAAGCAAGACCAGGGAGCCCAGCTTCAGTTTGGTGTCGGACTCTAACCAACAACCATGGGTGTCATTTTTGGTTGTTTTGCTACAAAAATAGATGGCCCTGGTTTACCTGGTGGTTTAATCATCTACCAGGGCCATCTATTTCCCCGAAAAGGACACCTATGCCAACAACCCCTTGTGGGGGTGGTGTCAACCGCTGGTTGTTTTGTGATTGGACCCGAACCCTGGTTCAGCTGATCGTTCTGCCAAGAATAGTTTGTGGGCTCACCGATCGGTACAACAACATCATGAAGGTGCTTTACTTGGATTCCTGAATTCCGGTGGGTAAGTTATTGTAATTTGCCCAGGAATCCTTGTTGCTATTGAGGGAAGCAGGCTGCGAGTATGTCCAAAGCCGCAGCCAGAAGCAGCAAATTTGAAGGCATCAGTGCCTGCGAACCAAAGGGAACCGAAGGGAATTCAACCCAACCTCATTGTTTCCACCCATTCGGGCACGCCAACCTGAATTGAATTCGACCCCCCACCGTTTCACCCGAAGGTGGGGGGGGAGAATGTTTTTGTATGCCTCAACATGTTCAAGCCCCTTTGGGTGTGTGTGTGTGTGGGTGTTAATGGTAAACCACAAGCATCTCGACACCAAGCGGGGATCACCCAGAGGTGTTCACCCAAACGCAGCTTCCTCTCAAAACCATTCCACCGGTTTCAGTCAGGTTCTTTGCCGGGTGAGTGTACCATGGAAAACTTAACAGCGCACGTTGAATGTGTGTGTTTTTGAAGGTTTCCTTTTTAGGGTTGTTTTTTCCTTTTGTTTCAGGGAAACCGAAATGAAGACCGACCATTTTGAGACACACCCATATCGACTAGGAATCATCTTTCTTTTTGGAGACCCCTGAAAGAACTGTCCATCATTACCCGCGCTAAGCCTAGAAGCTTTCCGAAAGGGTCCGTGTATGTCCCTTTCCGAAAGGATCAAGGTTTTGCCCGCGCAGAACTCTACCTTAGCCCATTTTTTTATGTTCCCACCCCCCCCCCCCATCCTTCCCCGCTAACACTTCACTGCAGATCTCCCTTGTCGGGTTTGTGGGAATGAGGCAACGGATGTTCAACCCAGGTTATAAGACAGGTAGCAATGAGACTCGCCCCAGTTACCCAAGTTATAACTACATGGTTACATGGGTTTGTAAGCTGTATACCTCACTAGTTGAATGTTTGTTGGTCGGGATCCCTCTGTTAGGAACCCGGACGGGGATCTCCGCTTCGTGTGAGGCCGCAGTGGAGGACGTGAAGATCTGCGGCGGGTCCCTGTCCGCCATCTCCGCGGCGGAGACGCCCTTGGCGTGCCCACGGCAGTAAAAAGCTGGGTGGCTCCCAGCCATCCGGTTCAACTTAGCCTTTTAGATCTTTTTAGTGAACTTGGGTAACTGGGGACAACCCATGAGACTCACTTTCATTACCCATTATGGCTTGCAACCCGCACTTTGCATTTCATGATTGGGATGCGCAATCTCTCAGATCAGACGGAAGGGTCGTTTCCCAGGGAGAAGCCGCCACTTCGGGCTCGTCGGGGTCCATTTCTGAATGTCAAACGGGAGACGGGGAGGGGGTGTTGGGGGGGGGGGCTTCGGCTCTCCATCTTTTTGTGGTTGGCTTACTGGAAACATTTCGGGAAACGACTATGGCCGCCTTTGTTTGGTTTCTCAATATATTATGTATTGTGTTACACTACACAATGAATATGTATATATATTTTGTTAATGTTGAAACGCATGTGGAAACATGAACTGTGTGTGGAATGCTTGACCACAATGGCATGTGCCATTTTGGCTCAAGCATTGTTCTGGGTTCCTGGAACCCAAGCTGATTGAAAAACTTTGATCTTTTGCATTTTCGAACTTAACCCCGACCAAGCAATGGCTTCCTCGGCAACCTCGGCAACTTCCTTTGAGTTGATTGAGGACCAGACACTCACCGTGGAGGAGGTTGAAATGGCCAGCCAGGAGGCCCAGGACATTCGCACACGGGAGGCGGCAGTGGCGGCCGGCTTGGTTTTGGACGAGCCCGAGGCCCCCCCGTCAGCTTCGGCGACCGATGTGATGAAGGACCTCTCCAGTGCACTGGAGCGTCTCCGAGTGGCATTTGCCACACCGACTCCCGGCTTGGGTGCCCCTGGCCCCGCCGAGGAGGGCGACAAGGACATGGGGGATGCGGACGGCACGGAGCGGGCCACACCACCGGAGGAGGCGCAGACGCCACCCACGAAGAGACTGAAGGGCTTCGTGGCAGCTTCTCAGAAGGCTACGTCTCAGGCCAACACACGAAAACCTGGTGATCCGCATCTTGGAGGCGTACGTCCCGATGAAGATCCAGCTCCGCCAGGAGGAGGTCTGGGCTTCGCAGTTCCAGAGGAACAAGGCGTGTATCGGCACCCAGCGCATGCACAGGCTCGACGCAGGTCATTCCGACTACAAGTTCATGTGCAAGGCATGCGGAACGGGGTGGCCAGAGGCAGCCAAGCAGTGCTGGGTCTGCCCCGGCAAGGAGTTCGCCCCCTTCCAGGCACCCTCGGCCACCTATGAGGCGGACGGCATCACCTACAACCTGCTCATCTTGGAGGGCAAGCCGACCTGGATCCAGCAGCGGGAATGGGGAAGCCTGGGTGCCGTTGGCCCCGGTGGTACCCTGGCACAGGCCGACCGCAACTTGGTGGACGGCACGGTCTTGGGGAGAGCCCCTCCAAAAACGGACTCGGCGGATGAGATCACCATGGCAGATGCGGTCCCGCTTAACAGGCGGGTGGACATCCGGCAGGAGATCCTGTCCATGGAGGCGGACGACGAGGCGTTGAAGGTCCGGGAAAGCCAGGAGATCAAGGTCAAAGTGCAGCGGTCCCTGAAGGAGGCGGAGGCTCAGAGCTTCGAGCTCTACCATCCCCAGGTGGACCAGGCGATCAGGAAGAAGGAGGAGTAAGGCCTTGCGGGAGCATCGGGAACGAGATGGCGATCCTGGCGCCCCTCCAGGAGGGCATGCAGGCCCTGCCGTCAGATGAGGTGGCCAATGAGGAGCCCGTGCCCTCATCAGGAAGGCGAACCTGGAGCGTTTCAAGGCCAAGCTGAGAGATCAGTACTTGGAGGGGAAGGGCGTTGACGCCAGCCAGGCATTGGCTGAGGCGATGGGCTCCATTCAGGAGGCTCAGGCGGCAAACAAGCGAACCCAGGACACCAACCAGGCATGGATGCTCAATCACACTCTCAAGCCCTTGAAAGTGTCGGCGTGGCCGGATGATCTCAGGAAGGCCCTGGAGAGGGGCCTATTCTGCCCCCTGGAGCTGGATGACCCCGACGACATCCCCCCGGTGGGGGACATCAAGGAGAAGTATGTCCCCTACATCAAGATGCTCAGAGCGTCGCAGAACCCGTGGCACCAGGAGGCACTGCTGGAGGAGATGCCCGAGCTGGAGGCACCGGCCCCCCCCAAGGGTGCCACGGGGGGGACCAGCCAGCAAGACCTGGACTCTGAGGAAGGCAAGCTGTCCTGAATCCTCTGGGCAATGAGGCGGCACCAGGGAGAGCTCCGGATGTTTGGGGGGGTTTGGAAGAAGCACGCAAGCGGTGAGATCCCCCGGGGCGCTGACCAGCAGTTCAAGCTCGCGCCGGAGGAGATCCTGGCCCTTGAGCGCAGGACCCACCCATTCACGTGCGAGCAGGACCACATCGACCCAGTCATCTACACGGCCTTGGAGATCCGAGCTCAGGTGAACCGGGGCGAGCGCCCGGCACCGGAACAGGTGGTTGGTATCTTCTGGGCGAAGGGGGATGGGGTGTTTTGGACCAGGCAGACGAGAACGTGGGACCTGCCGAGCCTGACGGGAGTGTACGCCCACAGGTTCACATTCAAGTATATCTACTCGGCCTGGACCACCTTCCCGTTGATTGTGAAGACGCAACGCCGGGGCCGCAATGCGGAGGGCTCGACCTCGGACAAGTGGATGGGCAACATTATCCAGATGAGGAAGGAGGCGACGCCCTTCCTGGAGAGCCTGGGCATCCCCAAGCCTCGCAGCAAGGAGGAGTGGAGCTACATCTTTAAGGAGATGGGGACATTCCTGGCGGCGAAGAATTTTATCGTGAACTGCCCGTTGCCCGTTATGGAGATGCCGGTGGCCCCCATCCATGACAGTAAGGAGGCGCTGCGGTTCAGGGCAGTTTGCGATGAACGGATCACCCTCCCGCTGGCCTCGCTGAAGGCCTTCGACTCGGTCTACACCAAGTTGGTGGCGGGCCTGAGCAAGTCGTCGATGGTGGAGGTGAAGGTCAATTGGCGCTGCAATGTGGTCCACGACTGGGTCCCGCAGGAGGCGGCGGGGGCCTTGTATGACAGGTTGGGCTACTCCCATGACCTCATCCGTTCGATAGGAGGCTCGAAACCCCCTTTTTCATCATGGCTAGGGTATCTACCAAGTTTCTTATCTTTGGACCGCATTCCAAGGGTCCTATGGGACACTTTGGCGGATGAGTCCTTCTCCCCGAGACAGACGGACGGGGAGCTGTTGGTCCTGATGTGCCTGCGCCAAGGCACTGAGGAGGAGGGGAGGAAGCTGGGCGGAGAGCCGGCAATCCGCTTCTCTCAGCTCCTGGAACTCTCGGGCATTCCGGTAGGACAAGACGACCACGTGGTCCCGACGGACTACTTCAACGGCCTGGTGGCGTCGGCGGCAGGCAGGCTTCCCCAGCCTCTGTCCGCGGCGGACCTGGCCGACCTGTGGGACAGCCTATGGTTCCTCCTCCTGGCGACGGCGGATGGCAAGCCGAGCGAAAACTTTTCCCCGCTGGAGAATGAATGGGACCGCCAGGACCAATGGAGGTGGTTCTCACGAGATGACCCACCCCCACTCCAACAACAAAATAAGGGAAATGGAGCCCACGACCCAGCGAGCGCTGGAACTCCATATGCGAGGGAAATGGGCGGAACGGCTCCTCGCCCACTTTGCCCCGTTTGCGGAGCACATCGCGTACATGCAGGACATCCTGGGGGAGGACTTCCGCAAGGAGGCATTGGACCTCCTGGGGGACACTAGGTTCCGGACACTCAGGCAACATTGCCTGGTCTACGAGAGTCTCCGGACGGTGATTCCATGGCAGGAACGACATGTCCGCTCTCTCCTCAACCAGCTCGCCGAAGAGGAGGTCACCCCGTACAAGCTACGGCAGGTGTGGAACACCCTCAAATGGTATTCCAAGACCTTCGGTATGCTGAAGATAGACGAGCTCCATCGCCTCAAGTCCAAGAAGAGCTCGTTGGAAGAGGCACTCACGGACACGGTCACCCGGCCGCAGCGCAAGGCGGTGGTCCCCAGCAAAGAGGTCATATGGGCTCTGGAGGAAGGGGCTGGCTACGATCACCTGGGTGCCACCGGCCCCGGTACGCAGGCGGCCCCGGGGAGGAGCAGACACTCGTTTCAATGACCTCCAGCATGTTCACCCCAAGGACCTTATCCACACCAGTAACACCGTGGAGCTGAAGGCCTGGCAGACCAAGACGGTCTCAGCAGCACGAATCAACCGCAACCCGGTCCCCTTGATTGCTCCGAAGTACAGCTTCACGGGGATCCCCTGGTGGACTACCTGGGTGGCCACGGTCCGGCGACTGGTATCCGAGGAGGCATTCCAGGACATGGACTACTTGCTCCCGACAGTGAGCAAAGACTTCGCAGGGCTGATCCCGAGACCTTCCACACCAGAAAGGGCTCTGAGATGGCTCAAGGATGCTATTCTCCGTCGGGGAGTGACCCCGGGGTTGGTGAAGCCGCTGACGTGGCACTCATTCCGAGTGTTCATCCCGGACTGCGCTTTCCAGATGGGGATCCCCCGGGAGCGCCGCATGTACCTAGGCAACTGGCTCACAGAGCACAGCAGACGTCTATGTGCGGGAGAAGCGCAATGTCGTAGTGGAGATTTGGGGCCAGGTAGCGCAGAAGGTCCCCAACCTGAACCTCGGGCCAGGCAGGGAACGCAGGGAGGACTTGAACCACCCGGACTGGGCGGACCCGCTCCCGCCGCCAGCAGTGGAAATCACGGATGCGGGACCGGACGGCCACAAGGACCAAACCGAAGGGGAAGGGGAGGCGTCCCCCACGGTACCCTCAGGGAGCGCACCATCGACTCGCTCATGGTCATTGGTGGAACAGGGACCCGAGGACACACCAGTGAAGGCCAAGGACCTGTTTCCCACCACCCCGGACTTCCCCCTTCGTGTTGTTGCGGCGGTCAAACGCACAGGCAACGCCGGCCAGGCCAGAATCCACCTGCTGAATGACGAAGGCACGGCTGTGGGGTGCGGGTGGCGACCGGCGGCCTCTAAGATCCAGGAGCTCTCCGTGCTGGATTACATGTCGGAGCCAGAGGCCTATGGCAAGTGCGAACGTTGCTTCAAGAGGTATGGCTTCCCGGCGGACTGGGTACTGGAGCCTGCGGAGGTCCCCACACTGCAGGAGGACTCGGACTCCTCGGCGGACTCGGGCTCTGAAACGGATGACTCGGTGGACACCCAGTCGGAGACCGAGGTGGTGGCCCTACCTTTGGAAGCCTAGGTGCCCCCGGCCCTGACGACCTAAGGGGGAGGCCAAGGACAGGGCTCTGGCCAGGGCCCTCAGCACAGACTGGCATCCTTCGGAAATGGCGGGTGTGCCAGACTGTCCTTCGGAAATGGCGCTATGAGTCTGCACACCCGTTCTTCAGTTTTTGAGAGTTTGTGTTGGGTGGCCCATGGGGCCCACCCAGCCGTTGACATCTGACAGGGGAAGATGAGTCCCTGGCACGCTTGGATAAAAGAGTTATCGCTTGCTTGTGTGGTGCCGTTTGGTTAGCTTACATACACTTTGTTAATGTTGAAACGCATGTGGAAACATGAACTGTGTGTGGAATGCTTGACCACAATGGCATGTGCCATTTTGGCTCAAGCATTGTTCGGGGTTCCTGGAACCCAAGCTGATTGAAAACCCACCCACCCACACCAAGGTAAGAGGTCATGGCGGCGGCGCCCGCTAAACCACCGGAGGAGGTCCCAGCCGAGATCAAGGAAGACGTGGCAAAGTTGCAGAAGCCACTGGCGGCCATCCTGGTGGGCAAGGAAATCCCCTGGGTCATCCAAGCGGCACTGGGCGCATCGGGCTACGTCACGGTGGAAGACCTGGCGAATCGCTGGAACACACCGGCTGCGGCCAGGGATAATGGTCCCCGGGACCTGGGATTCCAGGATGGAGAGAATGGATTCAACGCCCAGACCTCGGCCTTCACGGCAATGCGCCTCCTTCAGGCAGTACGAGTGGCAGCAAACTTGGTCAGGGGGGGCAACCAGGGCGACCACCCGGCGGGCCATGCGGGCCCGACAAAGGCCCCCTTAGAAGTCCTGTGTGACAGGCGCCAGCTGGAAGATGCTTACGTGGCCACGCATGGGGCCCCGAAGCCGAGGTTGGAATTCCAGGGTAGTGATGGCTACCTCAAGAAGCAATGGCGCATGATTGCCAAGGGCGAATTGGGCTACATCCCGGCAAAACACATCGTGAGCGCGCTCCCGGAAGAAGGGGAACGCCCTTCATCCACCCACAAGAAGATCACGGTGGACGGCTGGGACAGGGAGGATGAAGAAGAGGTGCGGAGCCACCCCACATCTCGGCGCCAGCTGGAACGATTGCACCTAACCTTCAGGACGACGCTCCTGATGTGCACGGCAGCACTGCCGCAATTTGGCAACCTGAAGGTCACCAAGGAGGAGTTGGATGACTGGTATGCCTGGTTCTATGGGGAGGACATAGCCGGCAGGAAACCTCCCCCGAGCGACACCACCTTGCTGTTCGCAGAGCGCAATGCATGGCGCAAGATTCACGAAATGGTGCACCAGGGTACCACTCTCTCCGAAGCCCTCAAGAACATCAGGGGCGACTTCCTCTTCTGGCAACGGGAGGTCTATGAGCACCTCAACAGGGCGCCGACGAAGGGGAAGGGAGAAGCCCAAGAAGGGGGGAAAAGGATCTTGGTCCTCGGGGCCTACCCATTCCAAGCCGAAGGGCAAGGGCGGCAAGGGGAAGTCCCCCAACACCTCCTCGACCCCATGGCCTGACCACTGGGCTTTCAAGAATCCCAAAGGGGTGGCGTACTGCAGGGATCATCACCTTCACAACAAATGCCCTGGATCACGGCCGATCCCCCCGGTCAGGAAGGATGGGTGGGTGTGTGATGCCCCCCCAGCGAAGCATGTGCCACAGGCATGCCCACACCTCCCCAAGTGACAGGAGGCCACTCAGGGTGCCATAGGCCCCGTGGCTGCCTGGTCTCCGAAGGGATCACAGGCCACCAGTGCGAGAGCGCGAAGGCAGACAGAGTTGGGGAGGCCAGGACGGCCGCAGGTGGGAGGGGACTTCTCCAGGGTGCCCCGGAAGCCCCTCCACCGAAGAAAGGGAGTGGATCCAGCCAGGGCACTCCAGAAGGGCGGAAGCACCCTTTTCCCCCGCACCCAACGAGGCAGTGGGAAGAACCCCCAGAGAGACCCAGAGGAGGGGATCCGCCCGGTAAGGGGCGTTCCAAGGGCGGGCAGAACCGTCAGACCAACCAGCCGACCAGTGGGTCGGACAAAGGACACACGGAAACCCCGAACGGGACAAGCCCCACCCTGGATGCAAGGCACCCCGGAAAGACTGAGGCGAAGACTAAGGTGGACGCCACGACCGGTGCCGGAGTCGTCGAAGCCGACCCTCATCCTGCTGTACGCTGGGAAGGACGATGCGGGGGCCCTGGATGCCTACCTCCATGCCTACAACCCGGCCTTCTCGGAGTACATTTGGGCGAAAGGGTGGCGATCTTGGACAGGACATGCTGGGAGACGAGCCATACTCCACAATGTGCTCCATGGCCATGGCGGGTAAGGTCGCCTTTGTGGGGGGCGGCCCCAACTGCAGAACGTGGAGCATTCTCAGATGGTTCCCCAAACCGGGAGGCCCGCCGCCGGTGAGGGGCAGGGCGGAGCAGACCCTGTGGGGCCTGGAGGACCTGGAGCCCCGGGTAATGGAGGACACGGACAACGACAGCGTGCTCATGCTCCGTCAGATGTACCTGACCTCGCTGGCCTACCCCGCAGGTGGGCTCCTCCTTCCTGGAACCCAATGGAGCGCAGCAAGAGCCCGAGCGCAGCGAGGTGCTCATCGATCTGGGTCACACGGGCCTACATTCAATGGGCGAACGCACTCCACCACTCCCTCATCAAGTTTGACGAGTGCCGCCTGGGCCAGGTGGTAGTGAAGTCCACGACATTGTCAACGGACCTTCCCCTTCACCGGGAAAAGCTCAACTCCAGTGACCTCAGCCGGTACCCAGAGCAGATGATGCAGGGTCTCGCAGCGGCCATCCTCTGCAGAGCGGGACCCGTCCTGGAGGCGCTGAGGCCGGGGGGCACGGTGCCCCAAGTGAATTTAAAGACCCCCCCGAGGCGGCAGAGGGAACCATCTCCCAGCACGCCGGGGGACCAGTCCCTGAGGCTGAAGGCCGGCCAACAAGCGTTAGCGGGACTAACCTTGGGCTCACGTCCGGTCTCGCAGACAATCCTGAGGTCCGGACACCAACACAGCCGGCGGGCAGGAAGGTCGAACTACAAGGTGAACTCTTCCCCTTCAGCCCTGCCGATCACGCACGACCCAAATCTCTCCGACAAGGTTATTTTTTTCAGATGGCCTTCAAACAGCGCCCCCTCAGGGACGGGGGTGGGAAGCCCTCACTTGGACGGCTGGCCCCGTGGACTCGGCCACTGTCCAAAGCAGCAGCGATGGGGTCCCCTGAAAGAACCCCAAGGCTTCCCTTTGTGTGGCGCCCCTGATGAACACTCAAGATACTTTGCTCAAATCACGAGAGAAGCTGGGTGGCAACAGAACGGTCACAGAGCCCTCTGAACAACTGGATGAAAACAAGTCTGAAGCTGTTGACTAGATGACAAGCAGATTGGGGGGGAGGGATGGGAAACCTGATTTTTGATCCCGCAAGTCTCATGAAGGCTGACGATCAAAAGCTTTAAGACTATAGCTTCCAACCTTTGGGAAAGCCGGAAAAAACCCAAAACCCCAAAACCCCTTTTCAGCTTAGAGAATCTTGTCACGCAACAGCAAGAGGAAGAAGGAAAAACCACTGCCGCTAGAGGTCTGGGAAGTCAGGGTGCAGCCCCATTCGACGAAAGCCAAAAAAATGCGGTGGCAAGTTGAAGCCCTAGTACTTAGACCAGCGTTGTTTGGGATTTCGTGAAGCGCCTTTTGCCACCAATGTCTCTCATCAGAAATTTGACATGGACATGTGCCTGAAGGATTGACGACTCTGAGCCTCGGAAGCGCCCGTACGCGAGCAACACAGAACGCAGGAAGTTCGCAAAAACAAAATCCGCAAAACAAGGTTTCTAATATATATACATATGTATATATATATATATATTGTGAATTAGTAGGCCTTTGGGTTGTTGCAAACATCAGCTTTTTGGCCCATGAAAGGTGAGTGTCCCTTGGTGGGGCTGATGTTTTAAGGGGAAATATAGGGAGCCCTGCTTGGGGACGAAAGAGTGATTTCTGTAGATCTGTTTGGAAACGGCTGTTTTCACCGCGCGGCCTCGAGGTGCCCCTACTGCAGCACCTCGTACATGGCCTCCTTCAAGGGCAAGCTGCCGGGAAGCCAAAGTGGAGAATTCTTAGTTGACATACTTCCTAGGTCCTCCAGTAGTGCCCTTTTACCCTTTTTTGGGGGAGGGTCCCCCTACTAAAGTAGACTACAGAAAAAAGTTGGTACCCTTATTCTAACCTCTCTACTGGAGGACCTAGCTTCAGTTGGTGTTCTAATTGATGTTCCGTTGTTTGTTATCCTCTCTGTTGCCCAGCGGCGCCCGTCTTTCCTTTCTTGGGGGAAGGGTTCCTTTTTTGTTTAGCTCAACCAACCAAGAAAGGATGCGCCTTTTTACCCATGGAAGTCCACTGGGCATCTGAGTCCTGTATTTCAGTGTCTCATTTTTTTTATTTGTACACGTGTAAATCACAACTTGCCGGGTTCGAAAAGAACGCGTGTTACAAAACACAGGGCCCATGGCGGCCCGCTCTCCGAGCATATGGGGAACCTCCAACCAGATGGTTTCCTTTTGGTCTTCCTGAAGCAATAGGGTGAAGTGCCCAAAAAACCAAACCCATATAGGTGTGTCTTGTTGAGGTTGGAAGCCCCAAATTGGCGCAGCGGTGTTCCTTTAGTTTCCCTTGCACACCCTCACTTCCCGAGTTCCTGGACTTAAACACTTTTTGGGAAGGCCATTTTAGTTGTCCAAAAAAACAACAACGACATGTTTTGGCCAGTCCACTCAGAAAGTGAGACCCACAAAACAGGAGGCGCCAGCGAAAAAAGCCACCCCAACATACTGCGGATGGACGAAGTCTTGCACCGAAGAAGCCCTGGAAAGATGATTCCATATGACTCCCCTGTAGTACCACGGCTTCAAACTGCTGCAGGATTTCGTCCAGCCACAGTTGACATTTTTTTGCCAGTTGAGTGGCAACAAGTTCTCTTGACTTGTTTGGCAAATCCAGAAAGTTACACTTGGGCTCCAAATTTTCAGTGACGAGTTGTAGACTTCTTTTGGCCTATCCACTCAAAAAGTGACTGCCCAAAGGTGGCTCCAGGCCACCAGAAGGCGCCTCCCTCATCGGGAAATGGTCTTCCAGGCTGGTCTGGCTCTTTAACTATTTCTCTTTGAAAGGAAGGCTGGTACCTTTGCTCGGGTACTCATAGTTCTCTCGAAAATTGTATTGCCAAGCTTTGCATAAACGCAAGAGGCGTCCATTGTTTTGTAGTGGTTTCTTCAAATGGAGGTGGGAAACTCCGCTGGTGTTTGTTTGCTTCCATGTCGGAGAGCACACCTCCCAACGTTTCTTGAGGGTTAACGGGGCCTACCCTAACCACGCAGCCCACTTGCCATCCCCAAAAAACAAACATGGAACCTGACACAACCCCGAAAACCAGTTTTCTCCGCAGCCCTTCAGCCCAGACCTCAAACCACCCCCCCAAACCACCCCCCCAAATCACCCCCCCAAATCACCACCCCCAAACCACCCCCCCAAATCACCACCCCGTCACCCCCCCAAATGCAGATTCTCGATTCGCTTCTCCCAGGTGCGAGACCTGCCAACTGTCCGAGATCGGCGCCAACACGCGGAGCACTCAGAGGGGGGGGGGGAGGGGAAGGCGGCAGCGGGCGCCATGACGGGGTATCGCTCGGGGTGGGACAAGGGTAAGGGGGGTAGGTACAAGGGGGACTTCTGGGGACTTCTGGGGACTTGTGGGGACTTGTGGGGACTTTTGTCCGGGACTTCTGGGGGGGGTCGGTAGCTCTGTTATGAGACTTCTGGGGGGGGTAGGTACCATCGGGGGGTCAGCGGTCGCCTGGAGATGAGCCATGGATGAAGGTAGTTCCTGGCAGAGATGAGCCACCCCTATAGCTGGGTGGGTGAGGAGGTGAGGTTTGGGGGTTTGGGGGGTTTGGGGCTTTGGGGCTTTGGAGCTTTGAAACTTTGGGGTTTGGGGTTTGGGGGTTTGGGGGTTTGGGGGTTTGGGGGTTTGGGGGTTTGGGGGTTTGGGGGTTTGGGGGTTTGGGGGTTTCAGGTTTGATGGGGTTCCTTAGGGAGCCTTCAGGTTGTACAGGGTTCCTTAGGGAGCCTTCGCGGCAGGGTGGTTGATCATCGGGGTTTATCCAACCACTTCTGTGATACAAGGGAGGCCCTGGGTTGGTCTTTGGGAGTCCCTGGGTTGTTGTATCACAGAGGTGGATTCCAATTCCCACCGCCCTGTTGGCAAGGGACAGTCCCTGGAAAAAGCTACCGCCCTTGAGGTTCTGGTTAATTTTGGGTAGACCACCACTTTAATTCAAGTGGTTGATTGCGACTCACGCTTTCCCTCAAGATCTTTAAGACTTTGGGGTCTCAAAATATGGCCTCGGGTTCTGCTATCAAGCCTCGCCAAGGGGCCCCCAATCCCAATAGGGGCTAGCGACTAGGGTCGATTAGGGTGAATAGGGTTCCTTTTGGGGACCACTTCCAGCAAGTCCCCTCTTTAGGCCCCTGACAAACATAGGACATGTCCTCAAAGAGAAGGCGCTGTGGCACCTGTGCTATGACATATGGCCCAAGCCCAGAGACTTCCTTCTATACTGGATGCATCCTTTTTTGGTTGAGTTTACAGGGAAATCCTTCCCCTTTACAAAAGGAATGAGGAAAAAGGGGGCGGAATTTATTGGGCAACTGGGAAACCAATATTTGTAGGGGTACCTTCCCCATTCCAGGGATCCTTCTTTCAGGAAATCAAAATCTCAGAAGCCGCAGCTGGTTGTTACAAAGAGCGATGGTTGACAAGAATGGGGAATCAGACCCTAGTCCGTTCTGCCTCAGGGTCATGCATTTCGACCCCAGGAAACCCATGGGTAGCTAAGGATATGTAATTGAGTCCTTAGATGAAGACAAACTCAGCGGCAGTTCAAATATGTATCCATAGATCATGACAATATTTGGTTTGAAAGTAACCGCCCCAGTCTAGTTTGTTAGACCTGTTTGCAAGAGCAAGATTGACCCCCACGTGAATAAACCCAATTTGATTAATAGGGGGCTGTCCCTGGGTTTAGTGGGGAATCATCACTTTTGGAGGGGAACCCCCCCCCCCCCTTATCCATCAACTGGTTGGTTGATTCATATGGGGTCAACATTCGGTGACACCCAGAAGCAGGGTTGTGGGATCAAGGGGTTTATCCCCGCTTCTGTGATACAAGGGACTCTCCTCTTTTCAGGGGGGGGTTAGCGTTTTGGGAGGCCTTTTTTGTTGTATCACAGAAGTGGTCATTTTCCACAGCCCTGCCCAGAAGTTTTTTTCGGTCAGTCGCGGCTAGCTATATTCAGCCGACAAGCTCTCAGGCTCGGCATCCAGCTGAGACCGATTTGAGCAGACGTGGAAGCCTGCGAAAGAACGCAAAACCGGAGCGATGCGGCCGCCTTCGACGCAGAGCATTTTTTTTTTTTTGCACAGCCGCGGGTTGATCAAAGGGTCCTTTACATGGGATGACCACTGGGGAAACCATTAACATTGGATTTTGTTTTTATGTTTTTTCCGCGATTTTTCAACCAGTACATGGGCACAATTACCCATTGTCATGTTGTGGAGAGCGGAATATTGATCAAGCCCCTCGAAATCGTCCTCGCATCCTCGGCTTCGGGTTCCCTCCCGTCCGGCGAGGACACCAGTGGTGGATTTGAGCTCAACTCATCACTCAAAGGCAAGGGTTTGGGGTAAGGCCAGATGCGGCAAGTAGGTGCAAGGTCAAGCGAGTTTTGTGTGGGGGTCAATGTTTGTTTTGTCAATCAACTGCAACCCTGCAATTTGGCAACAGACGGATTCCGTTTGAGAAAGCCATTTCCACGACACAGCCAGGGAGTTTTGACAGCACAGGCCAAGATGCAAACGGCGCCGCATTGCCAGCCGTTTGTCGCATTGCCAGCTTGAATGCCAGTTCAGAAAAATCCAGCGACCCTCTCACAGATCTCAGCTTTTGCGGACCCGGCCGGCCCTGGTAATCCTCGGCATCTGTTGTTGATGGCGGCTGATGCAGGCATCGCATCACATTGCATGCTTGAAAGTCCGCAATTTGGCATTGGAAAATAGACTACAGAACAAAGTGGGTACCCTTGTTCTAACCTCTACTGGAGGACCTAGTTTAGATGACCCGCCTTTTGAGGGAACCTTTGGGACTGCCTGTTTCCCCTTCCCATCGGGCCCAACGTGTTGGCCTTTCGACCGGGGCTGTGGTCAATTTGATCTTGCTCCGGTTAACAATAGAAAGGGAGCAGCCAAAGATAAATTCCTTGCTGGCCCGCGGGGTCGGTGCGGAGTGTCTAAGCCTATGTCCAAGCCGAGACACTTTTCTCTCACAGACCTCCAGGAGCCCGAAATATAAGGCCTTAGTACTCGATGGCTATTGGGTAACGGATCTTTAGACTTTAACTTTTTGAAGGAAATGGAGGGTTTTCCGAATTGAACCCCCCAAAGTTAAAAAAACGTTTGTGCAGAGGGGTCCTGCCAACCAAGCTAAGGGGGATGGATTGGTGATAGCACCCTCCCGACTTCCCATAGCTCGCCTTGGAGGTTGATGATACAAAGAAATGGTTTTCACAAGACAAGAAGTGATGCTGTGGATGGACGAAATCCATTTCGCACCGCTTGGAAACTATGGGAAGCCACTGTTGGTTGGTATTTACTCTAGGGGTTGATTCCTTGTCCATTCTTTTCAGCCATCGTTCTTTTCAAGAACCCATCGCCATTTCCCCAGTTTTTTTTGGTGGTTTGCTGGAAAGATCCGGATCCCTGGGTTCAGAATGGACATCAAAGTGACCCCTAGACTTCCCTCTTAAAAACACAACTTTTCAACTTTTGGGGCAACATGGGCAACTTTGTCTGTAAAAGATGAAAACTTCCCCAGGGCGCAGGGAGTTTTCAGGGGTAAGTGATCTACAAGCAAGACTCATCTATGCAACCGGGTTTTGTTTTTTAGGTCTTCGGGATTTCTTCTTCAGTCGGAGCCAGCGGAGTGCAGCGACAGCAACGTCAGGGGCGGTCGTTCATCTTCCATTCCTGAGTTCCTGGACTTTCTACTTTTTGGGATGACCATTGTAGTGGCAAACCCAAAGTTTTGGACTTTTTTTTGTTCGGCCATCTACTCAGGAAGTGAGTTGTCGAGGTCCCCCAGCGAGTGGTGCCCTTTCTCATGCGTTTCTTTTTTGGTTGGGAGGGTTCGGGACCCTACCAAAATAGACTGTAGAGAAAAACAAATGGTACCCTGATGGTGCATGTTGCCAAGGTATGCGTTAGGACTTTAACGTTTTGCCAACGAATGTTTTTTGTTCCCCGAAAAAAAGAAAAAAGAGTTAAGCTTGGGGGGGGGAGGAAGCAACCGAGCCGCCGGAACTTCCATGGCAAAGGACTTTGTAAAATCCTATCTGGGGGGAATCCATGGCCGAATGTGCAAGGCAGTCCGCATCGGAGGAAACGAACTGAGCTCCTCAATGCCTGCTTCAGAGTCGGATTCCGGATTTACTGGGCATGCCTGGCGAAATGTGTGTAGAGACCATGAAGAAAGAAGATGCTCATCTTCTTTGTACTCACTTCTCCAGTGTTTTGGACTTTAGGGAAGATCATATGTGTCATCCTCAAAACCTGGTACTCAAATGGTCGACCCAGAACCATGTAAGGAAACAAAGCGAAGGCACCCATTCATGGTTGAGATTATCCTTACTGACCTTTCGTTTTGATTGTGGCTGTCATGAAACCAGACAGGAATGGCAGCAATTACTCCAGTCGCCGCCATCTCCACCGCCGCTGCCAGGCAGGTGTTTGTTTTTGTTCTTTCGAGCATCGATCAGCTTCCCGTTGCTTGGCGATTTGGATTTGGATTTCAACCTCTACTAGTCCCCCAGTAGGGCCCTTTTACCCTTTTTTTGGGGAGGGTTCCCCTACTAAGGTAGACTACATAAAAAAAGGGTACCCTTATTCTAACCTCTCTGCTGGAGGACCTAGTCTAGTTCTTGTGGAGGGTAAATGGGAAACCACCAATTGGAGGGAAGCTGAAGCTGAATCGATCAGTGTTTCCGTCTCTGGAAAACCAAAGTACGCCTCCGAAACCCTCATGGAACCCAAGATGAATCGAAGAGTCCGCCTTGGATGGATGGATGGATGGATGGATGGATGAGATGAGATGAGATGAGATGAGATGAGATGAGATGAGATGAGATGAGATGAGATGAGATGAGATGAGATGAGATGGATGGATGGAGAATGATGGGATGGAGGTATGAGGAAGGGCTGGAGGGCTTGAGGGATTCTCCATCCCTCCAGCCCTCCAGCCCTCCATCCCTCCATCCCTTCATCCCTCCCTTGACCAGTCTGACCTTTTCGGGGAGTGTCTTCCCGTTTTCTGATTAAGATGGAAAGAAAGAGGCAGACACGAGTCTTGTAGGGGTCCCTGTTTTTGAACCCCCCATGGGTGTCCTTTTGAAGGGTTAGTTTGGTTAGGAAAGATGGGGTTCCACTAGTTTAGATATGTTTAGATGGGGTTTATTCCATTTATCCGGTACGTATCCCGAATCGCGCTTCCCCGGTGTTTGTTTGGTTTCGCCCCGGTGTCAGGCACTCAAAGGCCTTCAAACTCCATTGGCCGGCTCTCGCGCGCGCACGTTGAAGGGTTCTGAAAGGTTGTGGATTCCCAGAAAATCTGTTTGCGACTCCCCGAAAAGAATACAACTAGAAAATATGTGTGCGACTCCCCGAAAATAATACAACTTGTTTTACGGGATATGAAACTACAGCATGTAAAATGGGGATTCGCAAGACTTCCCAGAAGGTTCAAAGTCAACATCAATCCTGAATCCTTGTGGATGATGCTTTTCCGGATTTGGTCCTGGTGCCCTATGACAGCAAACTAAAAATCAGGGATGGATGAGGATTGGGAAAAATCCCTCCCCCCTTGGAGCGCCTTGGAGTGAGTCTTTTTTTGGAGGACGCCCGCTTTGTTGTTGTTTTAAATGGACAACAACAGAGCAAACACGCAATTGTGGGGAGTCCAACGCAAAAAACATACCTCCAATTCTGCACAAATTGGAACCGCTGTTTGGTGTCAAAGGGCCTTCCAAGACACTGAGCCTTGGGGGTGGTCGAAGTTGGAGACACCAGAATTCTACTATGTACCCTCTTGCCACGGAGTCCAGTTTGAGGTACACTTCGCTGTTGTTGGATCATGCGTGGTTTCTTGCTCTTTTCAGTCGTCTTTTTTACTTCCGTTCAGCTCGGGGCCTCCAAAAAAAAAGCTGGGCGATCATTTTTGTTTGCCAGCATACCAAGGGTTGTAAGAAAACTGGCGCTTTTTGTTTGCCAGCTAAGGTCCTTGGTGGTTCAACCAGCCCTCCGGTTCCTTAGCTCTTGAGATCCTTTCAGCCGGGGCTCCCAGGCGAGCCCACGCTGCAGAAGCGGATCCGAGGCGTCAAGGCCGCGCTGCGGCTCGGAAGGTCTGGAGGGGTTGGGGCCATGGCTGGAATTGGGGTCCTGAATCTTGGAACTGGGGGTTTGGGTATGGCTTGAATTGGGGGTTTGGGTTTGGGGTCCTGAATCTTGGAACTGCGACAAGCGTGTTTTGTTTGTTTTTTGGGGGGGGGTGCAGGTGAGTAGAAGCCCTTTGAATCTGGTGGTGGAAGGGGTCCCTGTTAAACTCGGCCCCAAAAAAGGGATGCCCGTTTTTGTTTTTGTTTTTTTCCCCATGGAAGTCCACTGGGCACCTGAGCCTGTTTTTCAGTGTCTCAAAATGTGTTTTATGTGTAGAGGTGTGAATCGCAACTTGCCGGGTTGAAAAAGAACGCGTGTTACAAAACACAGGCCCCATGGCGGCACGCTCTTTTTTTTTGGGGGGGGGGGTCCAGGTTAGTAAGCCCTTCGGGTGACCCAGGAAGTGCCAGCTTTCCCTCGCAACAAAACCATGGGCAAAGGTCAGCTTCAACTGGTGTGGGTGATTTGGAGGATGGATTTTTTTCCATTTACCCCCTACAGGAACCAAGGCTTCAAATCCAATTCAAATCCATCCAAGCCAGCTAAGGTGGACCGTGGATTTCGCTGGTAGGATCGTGCTCAGGGGTGGTTCCCCTAGTAAATTAAAGCAAAAGGGGGGGGGTGATTTGAGAGGGGTCCCTTTCCAAAGGCTAACCTGAGGTGCGCGCGCCTAATCTGTGCCTCCCATTTACACCTCAGGAACCCAAAAAATCCACTCCGGATCCAAACCCAGGGGCTCCAAGCCACCCAGGGACTACCCCAAAAAAAGCGGAAAAAATCACGTCGGTGTCCCTAGGCCACCCCAAAACGGGGTAATTTCCCTGCCACTGACATGGAACCTGAACTGAGGGCTCCTGGAAGACTTGGAAATGGACCCTCTGCTGGGCTCCATGTTTGTGGATGGAAAAGTACCCCAAAAGGGGGGGGGGTAAACCCGAGAAAAAAAGAACTCAGTCGATAAGGATGCCTCGTTTCTCGTTTGCCTTTTTACCCACCAGAGATCTGAGATGGAACAGGGGCTCCTTCAAAGATACATTTTGCGCATTTGAAACAGGGCTTTTTCCACCAAAAAAAGGGAAACCACCATTTACAAGGCAATGTTCAGGTGTAAAATGTAAGGATCCCTGTTGAAGGGTTGCGAGATCACCCAGTGAGTGCCGAACAGGACGCCAAGGTCCTGCGAAAACCATCCCCAACGCTTTCCTTGAATGTGAACCCCGGATTAATCAGACCCCCTGGTTGATTTTGATCGGGGGGTGTCCGATTCCTTGGTTGGATGCAGACCACTGGAGGGGTTTTTACCCCTCCTTTCAGAGGAACCCAAAAGGTTCCTTCCCGAAGCCTCCCTGAGCACCAGATTTAGCTGTAGACCAATTGAGTTGGGCCGTTCCCAATGGGCTGTGGCTGAAAAAAACCGAAACCAAAATGAAGCCCTGGTACGTGGAAGCATGGACCAAAACCTGCGGTTTGCCCCAGATCTTTAATTTTGAGCCACACCCAATTGTCTGAACACGTTCCTCTTCGTCTTCACACACCTGAATGAGGCTCGTCCCTTGGGTTTGATGCGAAACTCAGCTCGTTCTGTGGTGTTGATTGTTTGTCCCCTGGTTTTGATCGGAAACCTGCCTTTATGCTGTCATCACTTCAAGGTTCCTGTGTTCATTGCGTATGTCTTTCGCATACTACACGCGCGCATGTGTGTGTGTGTGTGTGTGTGCGTGTGTGTACGTCTGTGTACGTCTGTGTACGTGTGTGTGTGTGTACGTCTGTGTACGTGTGTACGTGTGTACGTGTGTACGTGTGTACGTGTGTACGTGTGTGTGTGTGTGTGTGTGTGTGTGTGTGTGTGTGTGTGTGTGTGTGTGTGTGTGTGTGTGTGTGTGTGTGTGTGTGTGTGTACGTGTGTGTGTGTACGTGTGTGTACGTGTGTGTACGTGTGTGTACGTGTGTGTGCGTGCGTGTGCGTGCGTGTGCGTGTGCGTGTGCGTGCGCGTGCGCGTGCGCGTGTGCGTTCGGTGTGGTATACTATTGTTTGCTAATACTCATAAATGCAAATTGGTTGCATTTGGTTTATGTTGTATATTTATTATTTGCTTAAAACAAGTTTTATACACAAGTATACATATATATATATATATATATTGTTCTGCATTTGCCTATGATACTCAGTTTGAAATATGTATTGCTCCATCCAATCTGCACCACGTCACCACCACCACCACCACCACCACCACCACCACGGCCATTTGCCCAGCAGTTGCCTTTTTGTCGAATATGTGTCCAATTGGTTGAGTACCGGTTGATTTCCTCCTGTCCACATTTCAACCTGAGGGTTCGTGAAATTGGCCCAGTTCTAATATACTGTTTCTAGGGTTCAACCCCGATTAAAACACTTTTGGACCTAATTCGGAGGCTTGGGTCAACAATTGTGGTTATGTGAACCCCCATTGTTTTAATGGTGGTTTGAACCCCGGGGGTGTTGGAGACTTTGGGCTCCTTGGCTTTAACACCTGCCTAGCCCTGCATCTTTGAGTTTTTAGCCACACACACGTAATGTATATATATATATGTCCTGGGGTTCAAACCACCAATAAAACAATGGGGGTTGATACAACTGCCAGGATTTGGGTCCGCCGTGTTTTCAATGGGGGTTGAACCCCGATATATATATATATATATATATCTGTATATATATATATATGCTTACTACTGGCAGTGTAATATCTAATATACACATTTGTGTATTTATATATAGTTATATATATATTTGTATGTGTTTATATATATATGTATTATATATGTATTATATATATAGATGTATACATACATTTTGAACCGGTATCAAAGGGTCTCAGTTTGCGGCGGCGCACACCTGAGGAAAGCCGCCCGAGCGAAGCCTGCGGATCGGCCTGAGGAGTTGGAAGCGCAGCTGACAGGCGGGGGACGGATCCATGGGGGGTAACATGGGGGTAACATGGGGGTAACATGGGGGGTAACAACTTGGTCAACTTTTTGGGGGCAACTTGGGCAACTTTGTCTGTAAAAGCTGAAAACTTCCCCAGGGCTTGGAGTTTTAAGGGTAAATCTTGGACACTCTGGGGCGCGGACGCATAAAGAAGCCCCGGTTTAAAGAAGTACCACAGCCCAACAGAGCACGGATGAACAAGCCCCAGTTTATTAATATCTGGGTGTTCCCTCCAAAAGTGGTGAACCCCCCATAAAACCAGTTGAACGCCCCAAGAACGAAAAACACAATGCTTCCTTCTTCCACCCGAAAGCCGCTCTCAGCAGGTTCCCAGTTAGGAATTTACATGTCTTTTTGGTAGTGGTTCCACTAAACCTGGTTCCACTAAACCTGGTTGCGCCAAACCTGGCTCCACTAAAACCCCCCCCCCCCCCTGGCAAGACTAGACCGTGTCAGGAAACAAATGACCCTGTCAGGAAACATGAGTCAGGGGGGAGTCAAGAAACAACCAGAGGTAGGTAGTCAAGAAACAAAAGTGACAAAGGATAGAGCTACACTAGGAAACGTGAGTCAGGAACGCGGACACATGAGTCAGGAAAGGCGATTTAGGAAGCAACATGTGACGTCCACTGACTCTGCTCCGGGTAGCTCGAAGATCTGGGAAGGCCAAAGACTCACTGGAGCGCCTAAGGCCTATTTTCTGCTTTGTTGCGTTCGAAGTTCAAAACCTCCCAGCCAAAGCATCACCTTCGGTTTCCCTTTCCAGTTGCGCCTGCCCCGTATGAAACGGGAGGCAAGCATTACACTGCTTGAAGCTAACAGAAGCCACCCGTCAATGTAGAGAAACCTCCTCTTCCGGTTCCTTATGTTAGCTGGTGGCGGCGGAATGTTGGAGGTTTGAAAAATCCCGCGCTCGCAGGTTGCCACAGGATTCCAAGCTTTTCCAAGGATGTGGCCAGTGCTGAATGTGCGGTGATGCGGGGGATGCAAGTCTTTGCGCTGCGTGCTTTGCGCTCTGTTCCTTGACATCGCCTTGGCTCGGATTAAGGAAGAACCTGGCGTGCAAAGCTGGGAGAAGGGAGACATGGGGAGACATGTGTGACGCCCGTAATCCAAAGAGAGATGCAGATGCCACTGCGTGCTTTGCACTTTGCCGCTTGCTTTGTGCATTGCGCCTCTTGGCCCAGATAAACGAACAGCCTAGTCCGCAAGGCCGCTCGCGCGCTTTCGCCACTGTTTCTTGTCTCCCGCCCCCTCCGTGGCCGTGAGTGAGCTTGGGAACGCAGAGCTTCTTGCCATGGGGTTCTGCGCTCATGTTTGCCGCGGGATTGCAACCATTTGGCTGATCTAGCCACTGCTCGTGGAGTTTTGCCGTTGCTACATCGCGGGGATGCTGGGCATGCAAGTCTTGCGTTTCCTGCTTTGCGATCTGCCGCGTGCTTCGTGCATTGTTCCTTGATATCCTTATGGCTCGGATCAAGGAGCAACCTGGCATGAAACGCTGCTCGAGTCAATGGAGGGGGAGACATCTGTATGTTGGTGCTAATTCAACAAAGGTGCAGATGCCACTGCCTGCTCTGCGCTCTGCTTGCGCAACCGCCCGTCCACGTGCGCACACACACACACACACACGCACACACCCGCGCGTGGCACGTACACGCAAACGTACACGCACAGAGACAGTTTCATATCACGCGCGCGCTGTGTCCTGACTCACGATTGTTTCTTGACTCACGGGACCACGGAACTACTGCTTCTTGACGGCAGAACGTCATTCGCTCGACTCCAAACCTTCACCGACATGTTGTTTTCTGCACCACTGTTTCCTGACTTGCAAAGCCAGTTGACTCCAAACATTTCCCATTGCTGCGATGCATTGTTCCTTTTGTTTCCGGGCCATTTCCTGAGTCTCTGCCGTTTCTTGGCTCATGGAACCTTATTCGCTCAAACATGTTCCCCAAGCGCACGTGCTGTTTTGTCCAGCCTGTTCTTTCCACGTCGTTTCCTGACTTGCGGCTGTTTCGTTTTCGTGACTCGCGAAGCCCACTTCCATGGGCCCAGCCTTTTGTCCCACACACATGGTTTCCAGCCAGGCGCAGCGACTGATGTGTTAGGCGAAGCAGGCCGTGCGCTGCCTGCAGCACACGCAGCGCGGGACAGGCCCGCTGCCACTGATACTGCGGTGGCATGCTCCCTGGCGGCACTTTGAATCAAGCTGCAACACGCGCAGAGAGCGTGAGCAGGCAAGGGTCTTGGAGTAGAAGGCGCACCAAAACAGACTCTAGCACGGCGGTAAGGTGATGCTGAACACCCTGCTCGTCGGTTTTGGAGGCCAGCCTGTTGCAGTGTGTCGGGTCGTGTTGCGCTTCATATTTCTTGTAGTCCCTTTGGTTTGCCCTTCCACTGCCTGCTCTCCTCCTGTTTGTAGGGGTGTGAAGACAGGGACCACCGATCTGAGGAAACCCCATATGAAATGCCCGACCCTTGGCAGCAAGGGTTGGGGATACGCGCCAGGATCCTTTCGTACGTTTCTTTCAAATGGTTTGTTGGCTTTCAAAATTCGATTGCCCCCAGCCCAAATGCTGCCACCGCCGCTGGAGGCGGCAGTTGCAAATCTGACACGGGCATTCGCCGATTCGCCGAACGCGCAAAGCAGTTGGTAAAGGCAAAGGAGAGCAAAAGGCCTCGCAGACTTCTGGAGCCCGGTGGTCTGGGGCAGTGCCTGACGAAAAACCACATTGGTAAGGCGCCCCCTAAAATCCAAACCGCCTTCCAAAGCGCCAAGGGCTAGGGTGAAATCATTTGTCAACGTCTTTTTTGAGTGCTTTACGGACCTTGGTGAGGGCAGGATACCTTTTTGATTGGCTTTTGCAGCCGATTTAGTGAATCAGGTGGCTTTTGCGTGTCGCATCCTACTTAAAGAAACCCTGTTTGAGGGATGCATGTTTTAGGGAGGCCTGTTTCCGTCCGCGCGCACACACACACACACCCGCGCGCAAGAGCGCGCACGTACACGTAAACGTACACCTACAGCGACTGCTTCATATCATTCTCATGCTGTTCCCTGTCATCTCAGGATTGTTTCTTGACTCACAGGACCACGGAGCTACTGCTTCCTGACTACAGAACCTCACTCGCTCGACCCCAAGCCTTTACCGACATGTTGTTTTCTTTAGCCTGTCGTTTCACACCCTTTCCTGACTCACCACTGTTTCCTGCCTCGCGAAACTTTATGCAGTTGACTCCAAACATTTCCCAATGCGCCGTGGCGTTGCTCCTTTTGTTTCCGGGGCCATTTCCTGACTCACCACCGTTTCTTGGCTCACGGAACCATATTCGCTCAAACACGTCCCCGAAGTGCATGTGCTGTTTTGTCCAGCCTGTTCTTTCCATGCTTTTCCTGACTCGCGGCCGTTTCTTGACTCACGAAACTTTACTCGCTTGACTCCAGACTTTTACCGAAGCTTTTGCACTCTTCTGACTAGCTTTGCCTCCATGCCCTTTCCCAACTAACCGCTGCTTCAAGTGCATCTTTCAAGGCCCCGGCGCGTTCTCTTCCAGGCCGTTACCCTAACTCACCACTCTTATTGACACAGAAAATCGATTCCAAACATTTTGTCCTCGCGCGCACCGTGTCGAACAATCTGGTCCATTGTTTCCACGCCATTGCCTGACCCACCGACTCACGAAACCGCAACAAAATCTCCATTGACCAAACCTTTATTGACTTTCTCACCCTTAAGCCTGCCCACTAAAGCTGGTTCAATAAACCCGGCTTCACTAAACCTGGCCCCTCTAAACTCTAAACCAAGTTCCACTGGTTACACCCTAAACCTGATTCCACAAACCGGGTTCCACGGTACCAAACCTGATTCCACCAAAGCCTTGTTCCACTAGAACTGGTCCCATCAAACCTGGCTCCACTAAACCTGGCCCCACTTAAGCTGGTTCCAGTGAACCAGGTTCCACTTGACCTGGTTCCACTGTTCCACGAAACCTGATTCCACTAAACCTGGCCCACTAAACCCGGCTTCACTAAGCCTCGTCCCTCTAAGCCGGGTTCCACCTGGTTCCACATAAATGTTTCCTCTACACCTAATGATTGCCTTTTTCGGATCACAAAAGCGTTCATGGGGTGTAAAACGAACATTTTGCCCAACCAAAATTTCAATAAGGGCCCCCCCCCCCGTTTTGACGACCCTTGAACCAGGTTGCCCTTCAAACGACCCATGTGCAGTCCCAAACACATGGCCCAGCTTCTTTGGGGTCACGCAAGAGGGGCAATGTTGCACCAATCGCCACTCCTGGTCACACTCAAACGTGAGTAAAACGAAACGGCGGAAAGTCGTCTGAACAATAGCTAAAACACCGGATGGCGCAATTCAACGACCTTTATTGGAAATGCTTACTCTTGCTGGTGCCATAGGTAGGCAATGTGGGAATAAACCGTTTTGGGGGTTCCCTGAACGGAAACCGCCAGTTCATTCCATTTCTCATTCCGTGCCTATCGCACCACAGCAAGGAGGAAGACCACGTCTCACCCAACACATGGGGTGGATATGTGCCATCTTTCGCGACCAGCTGCTCAAAGGGCTTGGCCCCGCACTCCGTTGACTTTGGGATCCTAAGTTAAGTGTTTATTCTTGACTGCTACTGGGTTGGATCTTTAGACCTTTTCTTTTTGGGAAATCAAGGGGTTTTCCACTAACCCCCCTAGAAAGTTAAACTTTTTGCACGGGGGTCAACAGCAACCAAGTTTTTGACGGCTCGATCTCGGTCTGCGAATGAAAATCCGCCTTTGGGATCCTTTGGTTGGGAGGGTGGGTTGGGGTTGGGAGGGTCCCTCCACATTGGCATCCCCAGACCTGGCTCTCCGTTTAAGCTCAACTCCCACCAAACAGTTCTTTTCAGTGGCTGGAGGTAAACCAACCCTGCATGTACAAGTCTGTGGATGAATGGGTGGAAAAGGACACCCACAAGAAAGATACACACCTGCACGAGGTTGCGAATTTCGGGGAACGCCAATGTTTACCCCGATTACACTCTGTGATTGGAGCGGCTTCCCCAAGAATTGAGCGATTGCTACTTGTTGGGTACCCACTAAAAGTTAGGCACTTTTAGCAGGGCTCATGCATACCTGTGAGTGTGTGGGAGGTGTGCTGTGCGAGTTTTTCGTGCCCTTGCATCGTAGAAGTCCAACAGCCCTAGCTCGATATGTTTGGCAGCCCTATTTGGAGTCCAAGCTGCTCAGCGACGCTTGTCACCTGCGTCTGCCATTTCAATAGCTCCAAGTTGCGAATGTGAGACCTGCATTCATCTGCCAAAAGGCGAGCTGGTAAAACAAACAAAAGTCATAAAAAGGTCCTGTACTTGGGGATCCGATTCTTTCTTATTCCAGTTTTTGCACCAGTAAAACTTGCAGACTGCTGGATCAATAGGTTCCACGGTTCCTCCCAAAGTGGGTGTCTCATGTTTAGGGCACCGCAAAAAACGGCAAGGGTTTCCTTTTGGTGTCCTTTGACAACCAACCCAAACGGGCCCCTCGAAGCGGCACATCATTCTTTCCAGAGATCCGAATCTTTTCAGAAAACCAGCAGAATCCAACTCAGTTGTTCAGTGGCCCCTTTTTCCCCCCTTTTTTTTGGTGGCTGCCCCACTAAAGTGGTCTTCCCAAAAAAGGGTTCCCTTTTTTTTCCCGGGTCACTGAACAACTGAGCCAAGGGGAAACAGCTGGTTTTTGAAAAGAACGATGGTTGGAAAGAACGGGGAATCAACCCCTAGAATCCTGCCAGCACCGTGCTCCTGACTCGCCTCTCAAGAAACTCGTTGCCATTTTGCATCCCTCGGACGAGGCTTAGAGCTGGAGAAAGGAGCTGTGCTCCGGCTGGCAGGGAGGCTTAGACTGCACTCATTTCTATACAAACAAACAATATGTACACATGTTGCATGCGTATGTACCTATACACACGGGTACACGTACTGTAGCTATACCATATATATATATATATATTATCATATATATATATCATATATATATATATATATCATATCATAGATATATGATGTATATATATATATATCATATATATTATATGTGTGTGCGTCGCATATGCTTATGAATGGTCGTCGCAGTGGAAAGGGCTGGAGTATGAGCCACCATCAGACGATACTTGCTGGTGGTCGGTGTGATATGGCTGTGGGTCAAAATTAATGGGATCTCATTTTGGGGTAGGTGAATTCACCACCCATTTTAGAACCAAGTTTAGTGGTTGGATTGAATCGGATGTTCACTGGGGTACGATTTGGAGTTTGACCCATGGCCATATGTGCAAAGTCCCGCAGTAAGGTCTTTCGAGCACGGAATGTGGTGAGCAAGTCGGGAGTTCGCTTCCCCGCTCCACAGGCGAGTTGTGCTTTGGGAAGGCCGTTTAAGAAAGATGTGTTTTCAGCTTCGATGTTGTTTGGCTGATCCAATGTGGAAGTAAAGCAAAACAGCTGGTCAGACTTAGTCTGAGTGCAGACTTGCGGAGGATTTCCATCATTTTTATGTCTGACTTATGACCCAGAGTCCGGGAGTGACACAGCGCGTGGACCCTGATGTTGACAGTAGATGCCGCATTTTACGGCAACAAGGATTGACAACCCGGCCACGTTGCTTTGAGTGAAAGGGTTCCCCCGGATAGGTTTTTGGAAGCAGTTGGGCCCTATGCGATGAGCAAACTGAACCAAAGTCAGACGTATGAGCTTGGAATATTTGCTGTTGGTCATTTGTGCCACAATCAAAACCTGGGTAGATGAAGGTTAGTAAGGGATGATCCAGCCATAGATAGCTGCGGATATCCGCCTTCGTAATTCTTGAAGCATGGTTCTGGGATTACGACCATTTTTGTACCGATCGGTTTTGATTGCGACTCATTTGTTGCAGAACCCCTTCCATGCGCGATGCGGGAGTGCCGTTCCTTTTGTGAGGCTCTCCGCGTTTTTGTGGCAAGAGAAGCCAAAAGGAAAGCAACAGCTGACGCTCCCGTTTGGAGGGGGTTTCTCAAGATAGGGTGGTCTTAAAGGGAAAGCAAAGGGAAACTACCTGCAGTCCAAATTTTGAGCAACACCTAGAGGAAAATTGTGCTCCGTTCCATCTTGGTAGGGGAAATTTAGGTTGCCCTTCTGCGCAGTTTGAAACCAAAATCCGCCCATTGGGCCCACAGATTCTGGCACAAACTCACCTTGCATCGATCAGATTCGTCCGCCACGGCCCAGGTTTTTCACCGCCCATCCCTACACCTCTAGCTTCAACTGGCTACTTTCCAACAACAGCTCACAGAAAGAACCCCGGAGTTCCTGATTGGGACCTGTGTTTGGGGAGACGTGTTGATCTCCGGTGTCCATCTGGAGATAGAGAGATAACGGATAAAGAGAAGATAACAAGAAAGCAAGTGAACGATCCCGAAAACAAATATATAGGAAAAAAACAACCAACAAAAACGGCAAGCAAGTTAACGATCCCGAAAAAAATAGAATGGTGGCAGATAGATGTGTTTTGAGTTCTGATTTCGACCTTGGGGCTTGGACGCGAGTGAGGTCCTGCAAGATGGTGAAGTCCCGATTCCAGCAGGCAGCGCCGGTCTCACCGTTTGATGTAGGTCCCCCAGTAGTGCTCTTTGACCGTTTCTTTTTTGGGAGACCCTACTAAAATAGACTTCGGAAAAAAGTTGGTACCCTTATTCTAACCTCTCAAATCTGAAGGACCTAGGGATTTAGACTACCTAAGAAACGCTGGAATGACCATTCCCCTGCAAATACCAACCGTAACAATGGTTTCCAAGTGGTGCAGGATTTCGTCCATCCACACTATGTCCTCCATTGGTCGTTTTTGTCCAATACTACGACATGTGCAGCAAGTTTCTGCCGCAAACCAAGTCTCATTTTCTCTCAGGGTCATCAGGGCTCCTTAAAAGATTCATTTTGGCCATTTGAAACATGGCCTGTTCCACCAAAATAAAGGGAAGCCTCCATTTACAAGGCAATGTTCAGGTGTATGATGTAAGGATCCCGGTAAAGTTCTTCACGGTCCGGCTTTCTGAATGATCTAGACTTTTGCTTTGCAGCTGGGCTGAAGGGACGAGAACGAGCAGGGGATGCCCATTTCTCCACTTGCCAACGAGCAAACGAGCGAAAAGGACGTTTCCAGTCCAGTCACCAGCCAGTTACATTTTCGGAAGACCTCCTGATGATACGAAGCAATGCAAGATGTACCCGATGTAGCACATGGTCTTGATGACCCTTTAAGGAGGCATTGCGTCGTTATGGAAATTTGGGTGGATCTTTGGACGATTTTCCATTGGACCCAAAAAAAGTTAAACTGTTGCAGAGGTGTCAACAGCAACCAGAGTGCGCGTGGCCTGGTCAGGCTTGTCATTTGCATTTGCTTCATTTTTAGGCAATGGGGTCAAGCAGGAGGTGTTCCTTCAAATGCAGATGTTGATAAGGTGTATTGCATGTCCATGACAAGTTTCTTCTTTTGGAAGCACCACCATAGATTGCCAGGAGGGGAGCTTGATGGGACATATGAAGTGGCTTAGAGATGCCCCCTCGGCATCGCAAAAGTCAAGAGAGACCCAGTCCAGGTGCAGGAACCTCAGTTGTTCAGTGGCTCCAATTCTTTTTCCCCTTTTTTTTTGCTGGCGCCACTAAAAATTCGGTCCAAGCCCAAAAAAGGGATCCCTTTTTTTCCAGGGTCACTGAACCACTGAGGAACGGTCATAGAAGGCGGCAGGTTCGGGGTTAAGAGCTCCAGAGGCTGAAAGAGCTCCAGTCACAGGTGTTTTGAGGGAGCCGGAAAGCCGTGGAAATTTATTGGTGGCTCAACCAGCCAGGCGAGGCTACAGGCCAGGTTGAGAGTCTTGCGCACTGCTTGAAGTGGAAAAGGGCGTGTTCCTCATTGCTGCCAATATGGTAGTTCAACTTAGCTTTTTAGATGCTTTTAGTGTTTAGTGGTAGTGTCCGTATTTAACCCACTAAAAGTGAGCCACTTCTAGCGGGGGATCTGAGGGCAGCACAGAATTTGATTGATACTGTCGGACAGAATCCGCTTTGCACCGGTTGGGATTGGTGGTTTTTTTCCCAATATCCATAGGCGTTCATTTTTCTCAACTGGTGCGAAGCGGATTTTGTCCGTCCACAGTAGTTCCATTGTCCATTTTGAGGGTGTGGAAGACTCGCAACATGGAAGATGGGGCCGGGGGGGGGGGGTGGAAATGGGTGCGTCGACTCGCAACATGTGTTTTTTTTGTTGGGGGGGGGGGGGAAATGGGTGTGTGTGTGTGTGTGTTTTGTGAGGGCAATTCCAGGTCAACGAATTGCCATCGCTCTGCCTGCCGCTGAGAAAGAGGCCTTGAGGGATATGGGTGTCCTGAAATGGGGGGTGGTTTACCGACCCTCCCCACTAACACGGCACTTGACAGGGGGTCCCTTCAAAACGAAATCAATCTTCCACATACCCTCACACATATGCTATGTTTGTGGGAGGAAGGGTAAGGGGCCCTTCCGCATGATGTATAATTGGCCGAGTATGAGGAGTGGGGATTTTGTGCGCACCTCCTTGTGTTTGCTTTTACACGGTAGCCATACGGTAGCCATGTTGGACCATTTTGGGTCCCCGGATCATTTTTAGAATCTCATTCAAAAGATTATCATTTTCTGTGTTGAGATGAAAACCCAAAGGAAGCTGTTTTCAGGGTGTCTCCCGAAATTGGAATCGTGTTTGACACCTGAGTGGCTTGGGTCCCGTTGAACCACCACGGAGCAACTCCGCCCAAGCTTGGGGGCAGGCAAATCTGCCGTTTTCCGCAAATACATTTGATTTTCCCCTGTTGGTTTTAAAGGGAATCGATTTGACTACTGGACATATTGTCTTTTTTTTTTCCGGGGGGCGAGAAAGCAAAGGGAAGCAAGTCTGCCCTTGCTGCATAGAGCTCCATAATTTTGCCGAGCGGTTCCGCTGCAGCGTGCGGCCTTTGTCAGGTGCATGATCACCATGGGAAGGCAGAGCAAAAGTTGCATGTTGTCAGCGCATGGCGCAAACATCGGGGGAACAGATTTCAGGAAGCTATTCTGAGCGTTCGATTTCAAGTGACGCAAACAGAAATGAGCGGCCGGTATGCACTTCAGACTTGCGACCCAGATACACAGTCAAACTGCAAAGGGCTGGCTTGTTGGACAAGTATTCTGAGCGGCGCGTCACGCCGGGCTAGTTGTAGAGCTCACCAACATTGCATATGAGTCATTGTGACCATGACATTGGACTAGTGACTCTCATTGGTTGCTGAACCCCATTAACGTTCACCTGCTAAGTCCCTGACTCTCCAAAAGGTCAGCTCTTTCCGGGCTCCGAGCCCCACTGGCACAAGAAAGCGTTGGGTTTCGATCGCTGTGGTGTCCCTATGTAAATGTCTACCCCCCCCAGAAAAAAAAATGAGAGCAATCCTTTCTAGACGGTGAAGGAATTCTCATAGTAATCCATTGGGAAGCAGGGTCGTCGGAAACAAGTGTTTGGTGCAACATATTGAACCCAAGCTTAAACATGGTTGCTTTTGGATCAGTCCATTGAGGAACCCTTAGACCCTCTCGCCTCTCACCGGACTGGCGGGTGTTCGAAAAGGATGGTCGAAGACTGGCAATCAAAGAGGATGGTCAAAGACTGGAATTAACGCAGTGCAACCAGTGGACATTCCGGCCCCTTTTTTTCCGGTTCTTTTTTTGGGAAGGGTTCCCCCTTTAAAGTCAACAAACAAAAGGATGGCGGTTCTATTTTTTCCCTGGAAATCCGCGGCATATGAGGGAAAAGGACTCAACTCCATTCGAGCGATCGGAATTCCTTCTCGACAGGCGCTCTTAGAAGCTTTCGCAGGTCGGGCGGAGGCGGGGAGGCGGGAGAGCAGGTCTGAAGGTCTCCCCACAAGCTCCTCAGCATCCAGTTGCTGAAATGAATACTTTGGCCATTTGGGGGTTCCCTTAAAAAAAGACACGCCCATTTACCCCACAACCCAGTTCTACTGGTACCCATTCCGGGCCTAGCCCACAATGACTTCAACATAGGGGTGGTTGCCGTGGTTGCCACTATTCTTTGGTGCATGTTGCTTGGATGTTAGGACCTGAGCTTTTTGCCGACGGATTGGTTTTCCGTATTAAACCCACTAAATAAAAACTTTTAGCAGGGGAGCAGAAAGCAACCGAGAAAAAAATCAGATTTTCCCTGTTGGTTTTAAAGGGAACCGATTTCACGACTGGACTTCTTTTGTTAAAATTTTCCAGGGGCCTGGACTGAAGTGGAGCACGATAGCGGCAATGGTTGCTTGTTTGGCTCCATTCAGAAGTGAGGCTTACAAGATCCTCCTTTGGAAATGGACCCCCCTTTTTGGAAATGGGAACTTTTTTGCGGGTGCTTTGAGAGGCACCCGTCTTTTTGGAGGTTGGCGTCGGCGAGAAGGGAAATCAAAAAGCAGTGTCTCCATGCTTAAGGGCCCATTTTGACACAAGTAATTATTGTGTAGCCAGCGACACCTTTGAGTGTCAAGGAAACCACAAGACACCTCATACCATGGGAGGATCTCTTTGACTTTTACCTGTATGACGTATACACCTCATCGCTTCCGGGGTTGATTTCGGTGGTATCCTTTCGCCTGGGAAAGGAATCCAATTGAGACCAGGTTTTCCAGTTATTCAGCTCATGTCTGGCATCAGTGGAAAGGAAGGGTCCTGTCTTGAAAAGACTTCAGTCTTCTGGAACCAACGTTAGAAGGTTGCAGAGATGACGTGTAAGGTTCGGGGACAGTCCGCTTGCCATACACAGATACACCGTTGTACCATCCCCCGAACTAGCATGGAACCCACCAGAGGGTCCCTTGCAATTCTAGAAGACGATTGTCTTTCAGGAGAATCGAATCAGGCGCCATGTTAGTGAGTTGAAGAAAGCAAAACAGTAGAGTTGGGCAGATGTAAGAAACGTCGAGATGATTTCGAAAGGAGAATCAATCGGGAACATGGTCATTTGGGAGGATCCAGCTACTTTCGACACGTAGCCATTCATTTGGTTGACAAGGGGCCCAACACATAGTCAGCCCTGATTCGCTTGACTCCCTAAATTGTGCCAGTGCTTGGTAGAGCTATAAGTTCCCCACTCGCAACATTTGGAGCATCAACTGCTCGGCACAGGGCCAGCACCGCTCCTGAAACGTCTTACAAACCGATCAAGCTCAGGGCTCGATGATTGCGCCTTGTGCTCCATCCGCTCCATGCCTGTTTGACCGAGTGTTAGATTTACCAGCTTGGGAGAACAGCGCATCTTCCCGACTTCCCGCGCGTCGCTCTCTTGACCGGAAAATCAGGGAAACCCCATCTTTCGCCTGAACCCGCGTCACCCTAGCAAATGGAAACTCACTGTGAAAGGATCTAAAAGATGATGTTTACAAGCCCACCAAAGTCGATTTATTGCGGGAACCCCTGAAAATACACAATGAAACGTTGGGCAAGTTATTGCCATCGGTTTCGGGTGGGCCCCTATGGTTTTTTTGCAGGTCCTCCAGTGTTTGTATTGGTTCCCTATCAGTTTTTGGTGGTAATCACTGGTGACCCCCCAAAACATGGTTTTCCCTTTCGTTCCGTTTAAAGCCACAAAAGGGGGGCCACCCTACTAGCTGATGGTGGGGGAACCGGTTCCAAATTTGCATATGGGAGCCTTGCGGAGCTACCGATCGCGGAGTCCTTGGAATGGTGAGCCCATATTAAGCAACCCCAGTTTATTAATAGGGGGGTGTCTCTGGGTTTAGTGGGTAATCAGACCACTTTGGGAGGAGGCCCCAAAGCCCGGTTGATAAACTGGGGTTATTGGGGGTCAACATTAAGATTGGTCCCCCCCCCCGCTAAACCAACTAAAAACAACTGCAAAGCTAAGGAATCTTGAAATATTGTTTGGTTTAGAGGTTCAGGGGAGCCTCAAAAAATGACAGACCCTTTTGGGTCACCTCCTTGAACGAGCCGGTCTTGGCAGGGCGTCATCATTGCCCAGCCTCAGCTCCGCACAGCTGCGCTACTGAAGGCGCCGGCCTTGTCTTCCATTTGCTGAAAGGAATATGTTTTATGTTTCCCTCTTGGTTTTAAAGGGAATCTATCACTACCGGAAATATGCTTTATTTGTTCTTCAGGGGGCTTCAGCAAATGGAAGTAGTGCAGTCGGGAGTTTTCATTGGAAACCGAAGGGTCTAACCAATGAATTCTCGTGGCATTCATGTTCAAAGGGTCCAACCACCTCTTTTGCCCAGTGGTCCTTTTTTGTTATTCCCCACCCGACAGGAAGGGGTTGGTAGATTTATGTTGGAATCCGCGTTTGCGATGCTTCTACACCACGCCCCCACCCAGTATCCCGCTAGAGCAGCTCGCCAGTGGATCCCGCCGAGTATCCCGCCAGAGCAGCTCGCCAGTGGATCCCGCCGAGTATCCCGCTGAGTATCCCAGAGTAGCTCGCCAGTGGATCCCGCCGAGTATCCTGCTGAGTATCCTTTGCCGGTGGATCCTGCCGAGTATCCAGCCAGTGTCGAGCCGGAGCGGCTCGCCAGTATTCGCCAGTGGATCGCCAGTATCCCGCCAGAGCAGCTCTCCAGTCTTAATGTCCCGCCCGGCGCACAGTTGGGTTTACATTTCATGTTGGTGCCTTCGTGTTTTGAGTGTGCCCTGAGGCTCGGAAAGGGTGATGCTTTTGTGTTGCTTTGGGTTGTGAATAAGCAACTTCGTTTAATCCCCCGTCGGGGTTCTTTTTGGAAGGGGCTTGGCTTTTGTTAACAGAACCAATGTTTGAGTTCTCGAGATCAGCTCGCAGACAAGTGGAGTTTTATGCAAAGCTTGTTGAGCAGCCATAGGCCCCAAGCCACGCGAAAACCATGCTTGAATTCACACAACCGTGTTCACGGTCGTAAGCTCGTGAGTGTGGAGGGTGGGGATTGCTCGAAGCGAAGTAATTCTCTTTTTTTGGGTCCGGGTTCACCTTTAAACTCACCCAGCCAAAAAAGGGTGCATCTTTTCTTCCCATGGAAGTTAACTGGGCATCTGAGCCACTGGCCGTGTTAGTTCATCGCATATTTCCCACTCGTTCAGAGAAGAAATCCGGTGCAACACAAACTCTTTGAGACCTTCCATTCCTGCAGAGTAGGTGGCTGGTGTCATGGCAAGATCGACCTGTTGAATGTTTGGTTCAGGTTCGTAGGTCTTTTTGGATCAGGGGGCAACAGTTTACTTCCAGTATTGGTTTTCAAGGGAATCCATCTCTTGATAAATAGTTCTTTCGCAGGGGGCTTGTGCCTTTTGAGCACATGGACTTCTTGAAAGATAGGAGTCAGCCGTTTGACACGTGCCCTTGTTCACCAGGCCAAAAGGAAACCACCATGGTGGGTACTAGTCAGGTGGATAGTCTTGCTGGTGCTGATGAGGGAATGACCCCGAAAAAAACCATCCCTCGTTATTTCCTTTAAGGGAATCCCTGGGTTCATTCCCATGCTCTCTACTGAACATCAGCAAGTACTAGACGAAATTCTGTGTCGTCAACATCGCAGAGCAAATGCATCATTTGCCAGGGTCGCGTGGGAGTTCCTGGCGGGTGGGGAATCACTGACTTTTGCTGCGGGCGGTCTAGTCATAGACGCTTGCACATGTCATGCTTTGTTTAATGGAAGTCAGAAAGGTTGCCCAAAAAGTTTTCTGAACACTCATGCAGAGCATGGGGTCTGCTGCAATCAAGTCTTCGGCAGACCGAGAGGGTATACCACATTGGTATACATTCACATGCACTCTCTTGAAGCGTCCCTGGCGTGGTTTGGCTGTTGTTGTGGCCAGTGGAAGGATCCTGGTGAATATGTTTGCAAGCACGAATATTGGGCGCATGCCCATTGGCGTTGGCTTCTTGCCTGAAGCTTCCATCCAAGACATCCCTGAAGGGGGGGGCTTTGTGAATTGTTTTCTGGTGTTATGAGATTTCCCTAAACTCCCACCTTGCTTGGACCTCCAGTGGTAGATCGATTGAAACCTATAGGAAACTCCTCGAATGGAGGCGACTTTCAGAGACACTGATGCATTGCCTCTGTGTTTCCCTGTTTTAACGCACTCCCGATACCTTGAACCTTGAGGCGTTGAAGTGAGGTATTGTCTGTGAAATTCTTCGGGCCATGGCTTCTTCGTTGTCAGGATTGAGATTGTAGTTTCGTATTGGCAGATTGCCGTCTCGTTTGGCCGCCGGCAAAGCCCTGTTCCTCAACACTTGAGGGGTTAGCAGCCTTGTTCAGCACGACAAGGCCCTTTCTGTTGGGAGTCTTTTCTTTCTTTGGAGTTGTCGGCTTCTCTCGAGTTGGGCTTTCGTTCCAAAATGGTGGTTGGAACCCAAGAAATCAAAGGACTCTGTCCCTCAGTCCTTTTTGTTCACTGCTCTTTGATTCAAGGGTGCGGCATCAAATACTCACTCCCAAAGAAACGCAGAACTTGCAGTGCTTTTTGGAGGACCCGTCAAGGTTCCAAACAACATGTGCGGAGTATGACTCATCATTCTAGGGCTTGATTCCCATTCTTTTCAACCATCGGTCTTATCAAAACCAGCCGTTTTCCCTGGGATTCTAGAAAGAAGGATCCCTAGAAAGAATGGAACTGGAAGGTACCCCTGGAATCCTGCAATCCTGACATTCCAACCAACACGTGCGGAGTATGGACGCCAATGACGCCACCTTGCTTCATTCGACTGTTCCTCCTCTTCTGCATCTTCATTTCGTTCTTCAAACCTTGTCGGGCTTGATGCAATGCAATGCTAGTGCCAGTGCTCTTTTCTTTTTGTAGCCCAGAATGGAAATGGAAGGTACCCCTACAAATAGTGGTTTCCCAGTTTCCCAGTGGATTCCGAGTCCGCCCAATTTTTTCTCAGTGGATTCCGCCCCCTTTTTTCCCCGGTCTCAGTTGTTCAGTGGCACCCTTTTTCTCCCTTTTTTTTTGGGGTGGCTCCCTCACTAAAAAATGGCCTTCACCAGCCCATCTCCCTTCCTGCTCCGAGGGCGATGAGCAGGAGTGGGCGCTCCTTGCTGTTGCGCCGCAGCCCGGCGCAAGCGGCGAAGCAGTCGCGAATCGAGTCGGAGGGCATCAGCAGTGCCCCCAACCTCCTGACTTCCATTTGGTTAAGAAAAACCAGGCAAACCAGGCAAACCCGAATTTCCCGAAAAGATCAAGAGAAAAAGACACGTCCACTTGCTTAGTATTAAGAAGATGTTTGTATTTCCCCTGCTGGTTTTAAATGGAATCGATTTCACTACTGGAAATATTTGTTTTTTTCCCGGGGGGCTCAAGCAAATGGAAGCTGGGGAGTGTCTTTGGTTGGGGGAGCCCCTTGCTCGGTTGGTTCATGTTCAAGCAACTTTGCAGCTTGCAACCATGGTTATATCTGTTGTAACTGGGGTAACCTACTTGCCTGACGTGGGTTGAACACCCAAGTATTGGCTCAAAGTGAGAACAAAAGTAAACGTGCCATATGGCTGTGGGTCAAAACCAATGATACCATTCTGGGGTAGGTGAATTCACCACCCATTTTAGAACCTATTTTAGTTATTTTAGTGAGGATGTACAGGCTTTTGACCCATGGCCAGATGTTGGTCCCCCTTGGCCCGAGCTTCCGGACCTCTTGTGTTTGTTTCAATTACTGACCCCTCTTTGGGACCCTGTTCTACTTGGTGGCTCAACCAGCCATCCGGTTCAACTCAGGTGTTTAGCTGTTTATTGGTTGGCCTGGTGGTAGTTTTCCATTTAACACACAAGTTAGTCTTTTTGCAGGGGATCTGAGGACAGCCAAGTCTAGCGGGACATGATTGAATGAGATGTGGCAAACCCTACCAAGCGTTTCATGCAATCAGATACACGGGAGAAATCGGGTCACAAGACTCAAGCGGAAAGGCATCACTACCAGTAGGACCCCGCAAAGTTGTTTTATCATATGGACATGCGGCAGTCATTGTTTGAGGGGTATGTAACAGAGCCTCGGCGGACATTCGCTGCATACCCCGTTGCATGCCCGAATGTAACAAGACCGCCTGGCTCGTTACATACTCCCTCGTTGCGCACCTGTGGCATACCTTACATGGCAAAACCGCCCGACTGGACCGTTGCATTGCAGAGTCAACTTGCAGAGAACGTTCCCTTCTTCAGCAGAAGAAAAGCTGTTGCTGGAAGAGGTAGTAAGCAGGTCGGAAAGCAACTTCTGCTGTACACCTCGTTACATGGTCCCAACCCCCCGTGTGCAGCGAATTCTCCTTGTTTGCTGCTGGGGAAATTTCAAGGCCGGTTTTCTCATCACATCGGCCATTCCCAGCGTTGGTGCCAACTCGTCTTTGGGTTCATACCCGCAACAACTCACGGCCCAGTTTAATCAATAGGCTGGGCACTGGGTGAAATGTGGCCGGGTTCGGATCCCTTTTGGAGGGGAACACCCCCCACCAACCGCGTCCAGCTCTCAAGTCGAAAGTCGCCTCAGGCCCCACGCCATTTGCCTTTCTGCGGAGCTCTTGAGCCATCCGCTGCTCTCAGTGCCCGGCCCGGAGCGAGCGGGGAAGTCGGGAAAGCTGTCGGCTGGTGGTGTTTTGTCCTTCAATCGGGAGCATCAAATGGTTGTGGTCGTTTGATCATAAAGGATTTATCCAACTTATCCAACCACTGAAATATCTTCGGGAATCTCCTGATATGGGGGGAAAAATGTCTTTGGGAAGCCCTGTTGGTCATCTCTCACAGCCCTGAATGGGAGCGTCCACAAGGACTTGTGCCACTATGGGTCACTTGCAAAAAGCCGAGTTGCCACTTGGCCTCTTTCGGGGGGGGGGGTCTTGCGCCGGACCCGCTCTGCAAGATGCCCTCAGAAAAAAAAGAAGCATGCCCCACCTTTTGGCCGAGCCAGGGGTTGCTGAACCTCACTCGCCCAAAGCGAACCGACCTGTTGACCATTTGGTTTCCTTGATTTGGTCCACAGTGAGTCAAAGTTCCGAAAGGTCAGCCGGTGATTTCCGGGGCAGCTTTGCAACTGAGGAACTTGTCTGTGTGTGTCCCCCAGTAGTGCCCTTTTACCAACTTTTTTTGGGGAGGGTTTCCCTACTGAAATAGATTACGGAAAAAAGTTGGTACCCTGTTCGAACCTCTCTACTGGAGGACCTAGTTGTACATGTGTGCGAATTTCGGGTGCGGCCGGGACTAGTCTGTGGAACCAGAGTGATTTTTGTCTCGTGCGTCTGGCCGAAAGCGCCCTCTGACGGTTGGCGAATCCACACGTGGCGAATCCCAATGCAAGCTGTTTTTCAGGGTTCAATCACCTGCCTGGAGGGTCAAAAAAAATAAATGCATGGACTTGGGTAGACTAGGTTTTGTGCACCTCAAAATGTGACCCGCCTTTGTCAGGTACTCCGGAGATTCGACGGCGCTCTAGTGATCCTGGAGCCAGGGCAAGAGGCACCTGATTCGCTTTGCTTCCTGCGATCCAACCGCTCAGTGTCTAGACACGTTCGGGACAGCTTGGAAAAGACTCGCGGCACGCCTCTGCCATGATGTCCATAACAAGTTCAAGGGTGGGCATGCTCGACACTATCCCAGTTGTCCAGTGATTTGCTTCCTCTTTTCCTTTCTTTGGGCAAGGGGCTCTTTAAGCTCAACCAAAAAGCAAAAAGGTGTCTTCCTTTTCTTGGGGGGGGCTCTTTGAACTCAGCCAACAAGAGGATGCCAATCCTTTTTCCCTGGACATCCACTGAGCTGAGCATCTAGAAAGACCAGCTGATCGACTCTGAATTCCACGCCTCCGGGAAGGAAAAACAATCCCACAGCATGAATCTGAGCCAAGACGGTCCAAAGAACCTCTGAAACTTGGTGGCTCCCGAAGGCCGCCCTTTTCAACTTAGCTTTTTGGACCTTTTTTTATGGTTTAGTGGTAGTTTCCGTACTTAACCCACTAAAAGTTAGTCACTTTCAGCGGGGGATCTGAGGCCAGCGCAGGAAACGAACGCCAGTCCGCAACAACATGATGATCCCAACAGAGCGTCAAATGGGCCCCATGCCGAAAACGGGCTTCAGACAGGCGCCAAGAAGCCAAGAAGCCAAGCCAACAAACCGAGAGATGAGACACAGGAAGAGTCTTTCGGGCTTTGATCCTTTTGATCATGCGAGCAAATACCAGTGTTGATTTGCTTGGTAGGGATTTGGTGGGTGAGAGGTGGTTTCTATGGCAAGCATCGGAAAAGACCCTCTGAGGAGGGGAAGGACCTCCATTGGAAGGATGTGAACCTCAAAAATGGCCTTTTTGAGGGCCGTGGGTGGGAGTTTCTTCTTGGTGGATGAATCCTAGTGTCTTGTGGTTTCCAGTTGTGGACCTTTAGGAGTTGTGGATGTCGGCGCGGGCTCTGCTTAAAACGGAAACTTGATAAAAACCAAGCATCTTTGAGGATGACGTGCACAGGCCAGCCGCAGGGTGTAGAAAGTAGAAACGCTTTTCCAAGGAGTGTTTAACGTCCCACGAGTCGAGATATTTCAGCAGTCTCAAGGTGCAAACAAGACATGTGTTCAAGGAACGTATTTGCCCCGGAACAAGGTGAACAGGCGGAGAAATTTCCCCCAGAAGCTGTGAGAATGCTGTGAACATGTTTTTCCAAGAGCAGCGAGCGACAGCATCTCGGAGGTATTTGACCAGCCTCAGTGGACTGGCCATTGGTTGAGTAACTAGGTCCCCCAGTAGTGCCCTTTTACCCTTTTTTGAGGGAGGGTTCCCCTACTAAAATAGGCTACAGAAAAAGGGTACCCTTATTCTAGCCTCTCTACTGGAGGACCTAGCTTGTACACCAAGACTGAAGCACAACATGTCCAACATTCCCTTGTGGATTATGTTTTCAGAGATCAAACATATGCCAAGTATGTGTGGTGGCACCCTATCTAAGGAATGTGGAATTTGCGGGGATGGGGGGAGGGGGGGGGGGGGGTTGGGGAGGATTGACAGAAGTTGATCTTGAACATGGTCCTTGCATGCCGTTTTGGTGGAGTTGGATATTGCTTGTGAATTGAGCGTCTTGTTTTGGTTGGCAGTGTCAAAAATTGGCACTCCTTGGATATGTTTGCAGGGCATGTCCTAAGTCAACCCCCATGAAGGCTCTGCAGAACCTGTCTTGCGCTTCCCAGCTATTACCCTTGGATTTGTTTTTAAGTTTCAGCATTTAGAGGGTGTTTCCGACTTTTCGCGGACATGTTCAATTTCGGCCGACTAAAATATGCTTAAAAAGCTAACTTCTAGCTTACCCAGACGATCCCCGATGTATTTTGGGTGCTCAAACAGCCAGGTTTTGAGACACGGCTGTGGGTCAAAACCAATGGGATCCCATTTGGGGGTAGGCGAATTCCCCAGCCATTGTAGAACCTATTTTAGTGGGGATTGAATCGGATGTTCACTGGGGGTACGATTTGGATTTTGACCCATGGCCACACCAGTTGTCCTCAGGCTGAGGACGAGGAGATGCGACTCGGCCGAGGGAGTTCTGGAGGAGTGGCCCCCCAGCAATTGGTGCCCGACCTCTCTCCCGTTTCGTTTTTTGTTGGGAGGGTTCCCCTACTAAAATAGAATACAGAAAAAAGCAACTCGGGTACCAACTTATTCTAAGACCCCTACTCCTCATGGGGGCCAACAAGGGGGGGGGGGTGCTGGGTTAACCCCATATTTTGTTCAACCCCTGTTTAAAATGTGGGGAATCAGACAATCAGACCACTTTTTGAGGGGCCAAAACCACCCCCCTAAACAGGGGTTGATTGATATGGGGCCACTATTGCTCCTAGACAAGTACAAAGATAAATTTAGAGCCATCAAGAATCTGGCCCAGGAAAGAGTGGCCGTGATCTCGCGGCTCTAGTCAATCATCGTAGCTGATCGGCACCATCGGGTGGCAATGAGTCAATCGTCACTGATCGGCACCACCGGGTCGCAATGTCTCGCGTACAGCTTTGAACCAATCGCCCTCCCTCCCACGTGGCAACTGAGAGGGGCCCGGTCCCTTCAAAAGGAAATTCATCTTCCAGGTACCTTTCCACAGGCGCCATGTGAGTTGGAGGAAGGGTACTTTGCGGCAAACTGCTTTGGGTTGAAGCTACTTTGTGAGAGCGTTGAGAACAGAGGAGGGCTAGATGTTTCTTTTCTTTTTGTTTTTCCGACCTGCCAAAGTGAATGGAAGATGCTGTGGATGTAGGCAGCTAGAAGTTGATTTGACACCGCTATGCATGCATGTCAGCAAAACAAAATCAAGTCATGACATTGGAGCAGCAGAGATGGTCCTGGTCCAAAAAAGGAGCCCGTGGTTTTTTCCTTTCAGTGGTCATGGAACTGGGTATACTGCATCCGAAGGAATGCTACATAGCCCATGCTGCTGCTGTTTCATGCAAGACAAAACTTCCCGGAAGGTTCACCGAAATGGATTGCTAGTTGTTCAAAGTTTAATGACCCTGTGAGGGACGCTCATGACTCAACCTCTTGATTTGGGCCTTATTCTGACCTTGGCCCATTTTGGGAACACTGTGGATACGAAATCCTGCACAAGTTGGTAGGCGGTTTATCCCAGTATTGGGCTTAGGCTTCATCCATCCGAGGTGCAGGATTTGTCCAGGCCCAATTTGGGTGTGTTCAAACCACTTAGCAGCTTTTTCAATGGGTTACCGTGTTGATCATGCTTGAGTTGTGAGGGAATGAACCCAGGGGTCTTAAAGGAAACCAGTTGGATGGACTTCTAAGGGTCGTTCCAATTCTCATTCCCTACTTCTCGCACCCGCGCGTTACAGGCAAACAAACCGCCCAGTTGCCCCAAAGCCTTCGGCGCCCGCGAAAAAAAAGATGCCCCGCCCAAGGCCTTCGGCGCCCGCGAGCAAAAAAAAGAAGCGGGAAAAAGCAACGCAGACCCAAAAACCACGAATATCACAAGCGGAAAACAAGGGGATAAACCAAAAAACAAAAACAAAAAACAACAACAACAAAACACGTGGAAAAGAAAAGAGGAAACAACAGCGGAGGCTTTGGTTTCACGCGCTCCGGCTGCGTCATCGCTTCGCCTCTGGCCGCGTCGTGGCAGCTCCCAAGCTCAAGCCGGAGGCTCGGAGATGCACGGGGGCGGCGTGGAGTTCTACCGCACGAAACCAAAAAGGGACGGAACAGGGCTCCTTAACTCAGTTGTTCAGTGGCCCCGATTCTTTTTCCCTTTTCTTTTGGTGGCTGCCCCACTAAAATGGTCTTCCCAAAAAAGGGTTCCCTTTTTTTCCAGGGTCACTGAACAACTGAGTTAAAAGAGCTTGACGTGGGCCCCCCCCCCCCGGTGGTTGTACAGCAGGGATCCGAATAAAAGAGCTTGAAACATGTATAACCGCTTGAAACACGTTGCTTTTGCGGCCATTTGAAACCAGTTGAATCGAGATTCGCATTTTGCAACCGTTTGAACCATGGCTGGCTTTTTCAAGACCAAAATAAAGGTGGAAAACCACCAGAAAACAAGTTGCAATGTTCGATCGGTGTTTTTTCATGCAAGGATTTTCGGCTGAAGACGTGGTTGTCCAAACCAGTTGGTTCTCGTTGGGAATGAGTTGGGAGGAGCCCCTCAAAAACCCCTCCCCTTGTGGCTTCCCTTAGGCTCAAGCAAGGTGGTGGTGGTACCAAAAATCGTGGGTGCCAAAATGGCGGTCCGAGCCCACTAGTTTTTGACCACCAACTATTTTTAAACCTGGTTGAGATACTGTGGTACTTTTTGAACTACTATTTTTGAACTACTATTTTTAAATGGAAAGGACTACCACCTGCGGCCCGATTCCCGGCGTAATTTTTTGACCCTGTTGCCAACTGAAGACATGCTAAACCCACGAATGTTCTGGGTGAATTATAACGAACGCGACCTCAGCCCAAATGGTGGTTTATGTGAGGAATTGTTTGAGGCTGGTGAAGTATTATACTCAGTTGTTCAGTGGCACCCTTTTTCCTTTTTGTTTTGGTGGCTGCCCCACTAAAAATGGTCTTCACTAAAAATGGTTCCCTTTTTTCCCAGGGTCACTGAACAACTCAGTATAATTCACCCAGAAGGTTGACCCCAGATTCTTTTCAACCGCAACAGTTCCCCCTGGGTGAATGTGGACAAAATATTGGGCACTTTTGGAGCCGGGAAAAAATAAAATATAAAATAAAACGGGGGTTATGTGGGGTCATCATATGGTTTTGCTCCCACATAGCATTTAAGAAATTGGACTCCTTGACTCCTTGATATGGTTGAACAGCGGTACATGGGTCTGTGTCAGCATCCGGGCCCCGAGCCTTTCGTTTTGTGTTCCACACCTGGAAGCGTCAAATGGCCTTCGGAACTTCGGAGAGCGGCTCGGGTGGCAGCGCAGGTTTCCGGAGTGCAAAGAGTTTGGGTGTGGTTCGGCGGGACCAAAGCCTTTCGTGGCCCAAAGGTGCAACAGAGGTTCGCAATATGTATATATATATATATATATATATGATCCCTTGTGTTTGTGTCAGATTAGAGTGCACAATTGCTTGAACAGTACATGGATGAAAGACTGACTGTATGCTGCCATATGAAATCCTGCTATGAGCCCCAGGTTCCGTTCCGTTAATTCTGTTTTCATTGTGAGAACCCTCCCGCCAAAGGAATCCCACATTAGCTTGGGTTCATACATGGGCCCATCCAATCAGCCCTTGAGTGGATTCAAGCCCGCTACTACATCACGATTGCATATATCTCACAAAATTCTTGCGGCACCCTGTTTCCGGATACCAGGTATGTGTCAGATATGCGTCAGTTATTGCAGAGGAGGAATCACGTTCAATCGTCGTTGTTCGCCCAATGTGACAGGACACTGGACGGATCAATTGTTCTCACTTGAGAGGCTGTAGACAGCTGGCTGTGGCTCAAAAACATGTACCAAAAGTTTTGCACCAAAAGTTTTGCACCAAAAGTTTTGCACCAAAAGTTTTGCACCAAAAGGCGAATAGAACCAAAGGCTCCAAAAATGCGCAACCCGAAGCCGCTCTTCAATTTGGAGAGCCACACTCAGGCACACCCAGCTGCGGTTCTTAGAGCCCTCCTGCAGCTTGCATGCTGACCCAATCAGAAACGCCATGGTTGTTGTTTGGAAACATTTTACATTTGATTCTGCTTCTAAACGCGGGAGCCTTGGAGCCAGAAACAGCCGGGGCCGTGACAGTTTTTGCTTATTGTGGTTTAGTGGGAAATCCCCACTGAACAGCTAAAAATTAGATTGTTGCTCCCCTTCCAACGTCAACCAAGAAAGCTCCAAGCCGCTGGGCGGCTCTTCAACTCTCTTGGCTGCGGCTTGGATAAAAGATTTACCCTCCCGGCTTTTGGATTTTGAGCCCCTCTTGCTGCGCATGCTGTTGAGCGAAAGTCAAGTAAAGCCACCACTCGGCTCCCTACTTCCAAACACCCCCTGGGTAGCTTGAGTTTTGCTCCTGGTTGAAGTAAAAAGTAATCCAAACGGCCTCTGGAACAGAGGAGTGCTCGGTTTCTTTGTTGAGGAGCTGTGCGTCGCATATGGATTCGAGAAAGTGGAGCCCAGGGTTTCTTAGCGGCTTGAACAAAAACCTCAGTTGTTCAGTGGCACCCTTTTCCCTTCTTTTTTTTTGGTGGCTGCCCCACTAAAAATGGTCTTCACTAAAAAGGGTTCCCTTTTTTTTCCAGGGTCACTGAGCAACTGAGAAACCGGTCCCAATTGCAGAGCCACCCCATATTTCATGCTTTTTTGAAGCCCTATCTCTCCGACCGCTGAGCCATGGATTGTTGTCCTTGTGAGGGAGCCCAGTTTGAGTGTCAACGAAGGTAACACACGAAGGCCACAAAGGCAGCCCTGTGGTTTGACTTTAAGTTTGCCTTCCAATTCAGCCAAGTCCTGTGTATTTCTCCGGTTCGACACACGCCTCCACGGGCTGTTGGTTTTTACATTGCAAGACAAGACAAGACAAGACAAGACAAGACAAGACAAGACAAGACAAGACAAGACAAGACAAGACAAGGCATACATACATACATGCATCCATCCATCCATCCATACATACATACATACACGCATTATGTTGACTTACATGTATGTAAATGCACATGTGTGTTCGTGTGACACATTTTTCGTCCACATGTACTCTACGACTGGGCCCTTTTCCGCAGGTCATCGGTGACCTAAAGATGAGAGACGCGGAGGCGAGCGGACGACGGTATCCGAACCCATGGACCCCATCCTTGGGTGCGAACTGAAGGTAGGGCTGTCCAGAAGGAAACGACTTATAAATACGGCCTTATGAAACCACTGTTTTTCCCGAAAGCATCGCGAAGGGTTCTTCCGTGCGGAGCCCTTGGACAAGTTACATAGAGCCAACTTACATAGAGCCAAGTTACATAGAGCCAAGTTACATAGAGCCAAGTTACATAGAGCCAAGTTACATAGAGCCAAGTTACATAGAGCCAAGTTACATAGAGCCAAGTTACATAGAGCCAAGTTGCATAGAGCCAAGTTACATAGAGCCAAGGTTAGGTAGAGCTTAGAGCTTCGGCGTTAGCAGCTATGTAAGTTAGTTTAGGTTTCTAAGGCGCCGGGGCGGGAGTTTGATCGTCGCTCGGGATTGCGACCCTCTGCGGAGATTCGCGTGGTCGAGGTTCAAAAACTGGGGACTTTTTACGATTTTTAGCATGCCCGCGCGACCCTCTGCGGAGATTCGCGTGGTCGAGGTTCAAAAACTGCGGACTTTTTACGATTTCTGCGGTGCGCGCGCGACCCTCTGCGGAGATTCGCGTGGTCGAGGTTCAAAAACTGCGGACTTTTTACGATTTCTGCTGGCCGCGCGCGACCCTCTGCGGAGATTCGCGTGGTCGAGGTTCAAAAACTGAGGACTTTTTACGATTTTTAGCATGCGCGCGCGACCCTCTGCGGAGATTCGCGTGGTCGAGGTTCAAAAACTGAGGACTTTTTACGATTTCTGCGGTGCGCGCGCGACCCTCTGCGGAGATTCGCGTGGTCGAGGTTCAAAAACTGAGGACTTTTTACGATTTCTGCGGTGCGCGCGCGCGACCCTCTGCGGAGATCGTGCGCGTCGAAGCGCTCTCGCTGTGGCGCCGTGCGAATTTGTCTTAGTCTCGGCGAACCCTCTGCGGAGATTGTGCGTGTCGAAGCGCTCTCGCTGTGGCGCCGTGCAATATTCTTGCTCGCGAAACGGCCTTTGGAAGTTGTCTCGTGGTTTGCGCGCCTGCTTTCGCAATCCCGCGGTCGCGGCGGGTTCGATTCCCCCCTGGTCCGCGGCAGCTCCGGCTTGAAAATCGCAGCTTTTAAGTACCTGGAAAGCCGTATGGCCGTTTTTTTTTGGACGGAACCCGTATTTGGATCATTTTTCCCGTATGGCCATTTTTTGCTGGCCGGTGGCCGTATTTGGCCGTATGCAACCCGTATTTTTTCAACAAATTGTTGACAAAAAGCCGTAAATAACCGTATGGTCATTTTTTTGTGGCCCAAGCCGTATGGACAGAAAAAAACGTCACATATGGGTTTCCAGGTACAAACGTAGTATGCGGAGCGTGCTCCTGCAGCTCCGGCTGGAAAATCGTAACTTTTAAGTACAGACGTAGTGTGCGGAGCGTGCTCCCGCAGCTCAGGCTGGAAAATCGCAACTTTTAAGTACAAACGTAGTACGCGTAGCACACCCCCGCAGCTCCGGCTTGAAAATCGCAACTTTTAAGTACAAACGTAGTACGCGGAGCGTGCTCCTGCAGCTCCGGGTGGAAAATCGCAATTTTTAAGTACAGACGTAGTATGCGGAGCGTGCTCCCGCAGCTCAGGGCTGGAAAATCGCAACTTTTAAGTACAAACGTAGCACGCGGAGCACACCCCCGCAGCTCCGGCTGGAAAATCGCAACTTTTAAGTACAAACGTAGTACGCGGAGCACACCCCCGCAGCTCCGGCAGCACTTGCACGGAGCAACTTGCGCAGAGTCACTTGCGCAGAGCAACTTGCGTAGAGCAAGTTGCACAGAGCAATTGTACAAAGCACTTGCGCAGAGCAACTTGCACAGACCAACTTGCACAGAGCACATGCGCAAAGCGCTTGCACGGAGCAACTGGCGCAGAGCCCTTGCGCAGAGCAACTTGCACAGAGCAGGCGCAGAGCAACTTGCACAGACCAACTTGCGCAGAGCACATGCGCAAAGCGCTTGCGCGGAGCAACTGGCGCAGAGCACTTGCGCAGAGCAACTTGCTCAGAGCACTTGCGCAGAGCAACTTGCACAGAGCACTTGCGCGCAGCAGCTTGCAGAGAGCAACTTGCGCGCAGCAGCCTGGAACAATGCAGCTTGCGCAGACCACTTTCGTGAGAAATCGCGCGGCGCAGTTCGAGAGGAAAGTAGGATGATGAGATGGAGCTCTCATGTGACCATCGCCGCGCGCAGACACGCTCGCCGCAGCGATGTAAAAAGGTGTCTCCGCGGCTGGATGAGCACCTGTGGGATAATGCTTTCGGGCCAATCGTCCTCTAGTTTGGGCCTTATGAAGTTGAAACCACTCTCTTATGAAGTTGACAATTTTTGGCTTGGCTCCAGGGATAGCCCAGTTCTTTTTGTACGGCCGCTTCTCCTTGGCTCCGATAACCCAGTTCGGCCCTCCGGAACACCACGAAACCACCGATTCGGCTCCAAACCAACCTTTTTGGAGGGAAGATGAGGGGTCTCGGTCACTAGTCACTAGGCAGAGGCTTCCCTATGACGGGCGCTTTGAGACTCCTCCAGGCATCGCCTCGATCCAGTGGCACAGACCACCCGACAGTGAAACCTTTCATGGCACCAGTCTGAGACCCGGGCTGCCAGTCTCCCGCTGGGTTTTTCTAAGCCATCCGGAGCTTCAAAGTCTACGAGCCAGGGGATCGCAGAAGTGTTGGTCTACTTAGCCATGTGCCAGAAGTTGAGTTTGGGCCCTTTTGAGCCACGCCCATCCAAAAGTCGCAAGTTGCAGGATACTTGGCGAGCGCCGCGGCTTCCGTTTGGAAAGCTCCTAGGGAAGAGTTGCAGACTTACAGCACGTGCCATGGGTTCAACCAACACCTCCGGCGGTTATGTTCAACTTTATTTGGGTGGTTTAGCATCACAACATTGGGAGGAACCCCTCATGTTTGTGTTTGTTCTCGAACCAGAAGGCACTACGTGTCAAGTTTGGTGTAGGCGTTGTCTTCCCTCATAGGCTAAGTGGAGCTAAAGTGATACAGTATCTCATGGAAAGTTGTTCCGAGATTGAGAAGAATCGCGGGAAGAGCACACGCAACGCGTGCATGCAAGAGCAGATCTTAGGACCGCAATGATTGTAGGACCCCGGCCCTTCCCCCACGCCCTGTTCTCCCCAAGTGACCCTGAAATCCCATAGAATTCCTTGTGAGGGGCATGTCGTTGGGTCGTCGTGGTCAAGGCAGCAAATAATACAAGGGCCAAATAGCTATGCTCGGACATTGTGGTGATGTAATCGATGAGACGGCTGATACAGTTATACACATGCTTCAAAGTTTAAAGGACAATGTACAACTATGAACACCAAAGGTTTTAGGAGTGATCAACGCGAGACATGGCTTAGTGATGCTGAAAAAGAAGCCAACGAACCGCTGCGCGGGCGTCGCGGACTCCTTTGTGACTGAAACCTGCGTGCATAACCCTGATGCTCTTGTTTAATGGTATACTTCTGGCCTATCATGAAACATGACTCATTAAGTTTGGTTTAAGGTACCTCGCACACCCATTCTACTGATGTGTTCCTCTCAAATTGGAAAGAGCTTGTCTCACGTCATCGCTCGTGCGAAGGGAGCAGTTCGGTAAAGATGGAGCACTTGGCGCGACGTTAACCAATGAGCTGCCTGTGTTGACGTATATGGGTGTTTCTGGAAAATAGGAGTTCCCTGAAAATGATTGTGTCCTTTGCTTCTGCTTTGCCTTTTCAAACCACCATATTGGGTTTGCCAGCGACATGATGCCTGCATCGCTCTGTCAGATCCCCTGTGAGTGTCTCAATAATGGCTTGTCTCCTTCTGGTGTGCATTGAAACCCGACCAAAGGGGTTTACTTTGTCCCTTTACTTCTGCACTGAAGATTAGTATGGAATCCAAAATCGGTCTTCCAAAGGCACTCAGTGGTCCCGCTTCTTATTTTTTGAAGGGGGGCTCCCCCGTCCTTGCGCGCAGACTCGCCAGCCGCGGCTGAAGTATCACCCTGAGGGTCCAAGTATCTGAGGCTGGCTGTTGGGGGGTAAGAAGGGTCTCTTCGCTGTTCTTGGCATGTTTTTTGGTTTTTTAGTGTTTTGGTTCTGTTCATTTTTACTTGGGGTCTGCAAAAAACTAAGTTTTTTGCTACCATACCAAGAGTAGAGATGGTCTACCTCCTTACCTCCGGTACCAAGGGACCCCAAGGGGTAAGAAAATCACCCCAGCCTCTCTCAAAGGCTCACCACTTCGCAGCGGCATCGGCGCTGTGTGCGGCGGAGCGCGCTTCGCCTGGGCTTGTCGACCTGTAGGGTTCCTCACCCCGGGATTACGCCCTAGGGAAATGACCCCAAAAAAATTGCCAGGTTTCATCCGGAAATAGGCTAGAATAGGGTGATTCCCCAGGGCGCAATCCCAGAGTGAATGGGGAAACCTTGGACTGTCCAACTTGCTAGGATGTGAAAACCGTGAAACTCAACTGCCCAAACCGGGCGTTCCAGAGGACTCGGGAATATGGAAAACGGTGGTTGGATGTGGTTCGTGCCGCGGGCTATCCAAGCACTCGCAGTCGTCTCAGATTTTGCGATGGATAATTTTAATTGTCGAGGTTCGCTATTGAAATCGGCTTTCCGAGAGACAACTGGGCGTGTTTTCCCGAGCGTCGTTGGGACAGCGTCAGCAACGATGCGACAGTTTGTTGATTGCTATTGGGGTGGATCTTTAGACTTCAACTTTTTGGGATGTCCAGTATGGGCTCATTTTGACTCATACTCATGCGTCTGAGAACTTCATGAATTTGCAATTCGGAAGATTCCTTCCAGTGGCACAGTTGTCTTTCACGAACTGCAACACGTGAAGATATCAAGGAAAGTTGCACGTCCTTTCAACATCTCCATGCAAAAGGTTTCAAGTGATGTCCCAATGGAGCCCACTTTGATACGCGACACGGTGTGCCATGCTTTCAACGATGCCCCGTTTGGTCCAGCTGTGCGTAGTTGATTGCAGCCATGGACAGCTTAGGATGGATGTTCCAGTGTGATCGGCATTTGCTCAGCCCATGTCGTGTGCATGCGCATCCAAGATTGTGCTGTTGCTGGTTTTGCTGACTTGCTTTGCCAGCCAATGAGATGGACAAATCGAAGTCATTCAAGAGATTTTTTGGAGGGTTCCAGTAGGCCAGCATGCCATTGAGATGCCGAGCTTCCCAGACCTTTAATGGAGCCTTTCTCTACTTCTTGGGGCACATCTGGCCCTTTTGAGGTTCCAAGATACAAAATCAGATGTGTAAGATCTCCGGCACTTGACACAGGCTTTCTTGCGCCGCCTTTCCTTTTTGACAAAGGCCCGTCCACGTCCATAGGCGATCACATTGCAGTGGGTGGTTCAAGGCCATGCCCTCCCAGCAAATGGGTTACCCAAGGGCGTCCTGCCACCTAAAAAGCAACACCGGAAGGGTCCCATTGTTCGAGGAACGCATGTTGGGAACGGCGGTAGGCCAGGCACCCGTTTTTGCAATCAACATGTCACGTGCTGTCAATCCCCGTGAGCCGCTTGCACCCGCGTGTGTGGAAAGGTCTCGAAGCTTCCGACTGGACCATCCACCCAAGTCCAAGACCAAAGGTGCATGAATTTCAACTTCCCCAACTAGGTCCCCCAGTAGTGCCCTGCCTCTCACGCCTTTTTGGGTTGGGAGGGTTCCCCTACTAAAATAGACTTCACAAAAAAGTTGGTGCCAACTTATTCTAACCTCTCAAATCTGGAGGACCTAGCAACTAATTGGCAACTCATGGCCTTGACTCTTTTTTGTTTCGACCTTTTGGCCTCCACAATCCACAGGATGAGCCACACCGACCTGGCTTTCTTGCCAGGATTTTCTATTGGCAAAGGAAAGAGTCCATCAGAGCAGCAGATTCTTGGTTGTTCCCAGCCATCCTTTCAGGTTTTTAGGAGTTGGGGGTTTCCGTTTAACTCACTAAAAAATCAACTTTTAGCAGGGGATCTGAGGACAGCCCAGGATTGTGTTTCTTGTTTTGCGCTGGCAGAGCAACTTTCCTTCTGACATGTCCCATGTTGGCATATCGGCAGATGTTCCGCGAAGCCCCAATGTTCCCCCGCCCTTTCAGGGAGTGACCATATAAGCCCACACATAGAGCCCAAAGGCGACTGGATTCCCATAAAGCACTGGTTAGTTGACCAATCAACCTTCCAAGCTCTCCAGATGAACCTGAATGCAAAAACAACCATACCAGAGGTGCATTTTGCCTGGATGTTAGGACTTTAACTTTTTGCCAACTAATGGGTTTTCCGTATAAAGCACACTAAAACTTTTAGCAGAGCAGCAGAAAGCAACCGAGATGCTTGCCCCAAAACGAGCATGGCCTTTCAGGACCGGCTTGTTTTGTTTCGGATAGGTCCCCCAGTAGTGCCCTTTTGCCAACTTTTTGAGGGGGGAGGGTTCCCCTGCTAAAATAGACTACATGAAAAAAAGGGTACCCTTGTTCTATCCTCTCTACTGGAGGACCTAGTGACTGTCCCTTAAACAAACCACGCAACACTCGAATGCCAATTGCATACGGATACCCCCCACTGATGAAGCGGCCTGGCAAGACCGAAAACAAGTTGGTACCAACTTCTGCCAACCTCTCAAGTCGGGGACTCGCCCTTTTAGTTTGGGGAAACATATGAATCCTTTGGTGCATGTTGCCAAGGGATGTTCGGACTGAACAACTTTTTGCCGACTAATGGGTTTTCTGTATTAAACCCACTAAAAGTTATTCACTTTTAGCAGGGGAGCAGAAAGCAACCAAGTAATATTGACCCCAGATTCTTTTCAACCCGAGTTTAGTAGGGGAACGTTATTCCTGGGTGACTGGCATGGGGGAAATCAGACCGCTTTCGGAGGGGCCGCAACCATCCCCCTATTAAAGAACCGGAAACTCGCCCTTTCGGTTTGGGAAAATATGAATCGGTTTAGCCCCCCGGGGCTAAAACGGGCTGCGCCGCCTTAGGAGTTTCAGGACGATCTCGGCGAGATCTTGCAGAACGAGGGCATCAAGCTTTGCCTCCTCGTGGAAGGCTCGAAGTGAAACCTGGGGTGGGTCTAAATATGGCAGAAATTTGTTTGAGAGGTCTGTAACAGAGCCGCGGCGGAGATTCGTTACAGACCTCGCTACAGACCTCTGCAACAAGACCCGCTGGCTTGTTACACACCCCTCATTACACACCGTCGTTACACGCCTCAAAAAGGCAAACCGGGCCAGTGACTGCCCTCTTTGCCACAGCTTGGCTTGCGTTGCATAGCTGCAATCAAGCTGTAGCTGTGGAGTCGCTTTGCTTACTGCGCTTTGCTTTTTGCCTCGTTGCAGACCTTGTTACATGGCCGTCACATACCTCGTTGCAGACCCAACCCCAGCCCGGGTCCGCGACCCCCCTTTTTGCCGCCGCTTGGCTCGCGTTGAATAGCTGCATTCAAGCTGGAGCTGCGAAGGCGCTTTGCGTACTGCGCTTGCTTTGCCTCGTTACAGACCTTGTTGCATGGCCGTCACATACCTCGTTACGGACCCAACCCCAGCCAGGGCCAGTGACTCCCCTTTTTGCCATCCTGCGCTTGTATTTACTGAGCGACTTTTGAGGCGGAGCTTCGTTGTTCTGCGCTACATTGTGCTTCTGATACTGCTTGTCAAGAAATGCTTCCCGTTACTGACCTGCGACAGACCTCCACAACAAGATTCGTGGCGCGTCGCGCGTTGCAGACCCTCAAGAAATCATAGCCATATGAAAATCGAGTCAGAAATATTTTTGTGTAGCCCAGATGTAGAAAGGATAAGAAAGGCAGGGTGAATTATATTATATCGAGCTGACCGATGCGCGTCAAAGGAGCAAAAACTGAAGGCCCCTTGAGAACTTATAATTGGTTTGCCCAGACACACACACACCTTTATCTACAGTGAGTGTTGTATTTTTGTTCACTTTTGTTGGGAACCGGGGGGTTGGAAGATGTGCTTCTTGTCGCATAGGAATCCACTAGAGGTCTGCCAAGCAGCTTGGAAGAGGGTGCTTTCACATGGGCGCTTCGTGAGGGGTCGCACTGCCCTTGCTACAAGCATGGTGGTGGGGAAGTGTCGATTTTTGGTTGCCATAACAAAAGCTTGAGTCACGGGGATACACTCGACTTTCGAGTTGCAGTGGGACGGCCGACAGCTGCAGCTGATTTTGCCAAAGACAAGTCTGAAACCAGTTTCAGAGGTTTTTGCCCCTATTTTTTCAGATCCATGCCAGGGTGATTTACTGTGAGGGTTGCTAGGCAGGGCCATAGACCTCTGGACGGAACTTTCCGGCAATCGTCGGAGCAAGAACAGCTGCAGGTCCGATTGCCCCATGGGCCCGGCCCCTTCGCAAAAAAAACACATATCATGGAGGTTCGGCTCCTCGCTGGATCGTCTTAATGCTTTAGCCATCTTGCTTTTCCTTCAAAATTCAGTAAACCACATGTTCATAGAAGGTTTGTGTGTGTGTTTTTTCCTGGGAGTTTCTTGTTTTTAGTATATTTCATAGCTGTCAAAGACATAAACGCCTGGCAAACGCAACATGAGATAAGTGGGGTGTAGTCCCCTTCTTCGAGACATACGGGCGGCCAACAGGAGCCCAGTTCTTCAGGACCTAGTGGAAAGCGGTCCCTGATTCCAAGTCATGGACACCTGGCGCGAGCCTACGGCACGAGCCGACGTGCCGGCTTCAGGGCCATGGCTTTCGCTGTCCAAATGAAAAGTTGATCAATTGACCGGTGGTTTCCATTGAAGCGATCCCCACTTTTGGAGGCTCAGAAGGGGAATGGAGGAAACAGTGAGTGAGAGGTTTGCTTAAGCTGTCTTTCGCGGATGCATGCTTTCGGCCGCATTTCGGATTTGTGTCACGCGTGCACGAGGAGTTGTGTTTTGGTCCCCTGGGTGAGGGTTACATTGACCATGACGGGTTTGTTCCAATTGTGATTCCTTTCAATGCTTCGCAAATAACCAGCTCGCCTGTCAGGCCGACGCTTCTACGGATTCTTCCTCTACAAGTTCTGGTGCCCACCGCTCAAGGCCACATTTGGAAAGAGCACACCACGCTAAACATCCCATTAAAATCAACTAAAACGGGTGGTGCACCCCAAAAATGGTACCATTGGTTTTGAACCATACCCAAATTTGCTTGCAACATGTGCAACCCCTATCCTTTGATTGTTTCGCAGGTGATGGCGTCCGCGTATTCCCCCCTTGTGTAAACACATAAGCCCCTAGGCCAACACTGGGATCGGTGTGTTTGGGGTGGGTGGGAAGGCCTTTGTTTGGTCAACAGTCAGGGGTGATACGAGTTATACACCCAGCAAGCCAAATGCATTTATGAGGAAAAACATGCCCAATTAAAAAGCAAGCCTTGCCACCAAGTAAATGCTTCACCAGTTGGTCCAGTTGGTGTATCCATCGCTGTTGCTAATCGGCGTGGTTCTTGAAAGCATTTACAGCAGCTGTTGAACCCCTTTTTGGATATAAACATGGTCAACCCAGCAAACCAAATCCATTTAAGTTTGCAAGCTCATTCAGCAAACCATTTACTACAGATTGACATGAAGCCCAAAAGCAACCATTTGTAGCTGAGGAACTCCTGTGTCTTGGGCCCCACTTTTGGGTTCCTTCCGTCAGTTTCTGGAGTAACCTCCTACACCCTGGTAAATTAACATGGAGCGCAAAACGGGGGGGGGGGGGCAGGAGATTCCTCTACAAATGGTGGTTTGTTAAATTCCATGTAAATCTGCAGGAGAGTGTCCTCTACCATTGCTTGGTAGTGCCCAGCCATCCGGTTCCTTAGGTTTTTGTTTTTTTTGTTCGTTTAGTGGTTGGGTGTCCGTATTCAACCCACTAACAGTTAGTCACTTTTAGCCGGGGATCTGAAAGCGGACAGCTCCGAGCATTGACCCCTTTGAATGGATGCTTTCGCTGTTGCCATGCTTTTCAGAAGCAGCCCATGAGGCATGTACTCAGGTTCAAGGAACTGCAAATCCCCTTTCGCAAATCCACTGGTTCGGAAGCGAGGAGCTATTCAATCGACTTTCCTATTCCAATTACATCCTACATAC